AGCCAGGAGGCCTCCACTGGGGAGGTGACAGGGTGGCTCAGTGTTAGAGCTTAAGCCGAGAGGCCTCCACTGATGGCTTAGGAGCATAGCTCAGATACAGAAATTCTGCCTAAGATCCTCAGTGATGGTGGGGGTTGGTGAAGGTCAAGCAGAGCTGTAGAACACTTGCCTAGAATCCTCCAGTGAGGGGCTGGGGCCTGGCTAAGATTTCCCCAGTGGAGAGAGAGGAATGTAGTTCAGGGGCAGAGCTCAGCCCCAGTCTTCAAGTGAGGTCTAGGCAGTGTAACCTAGTCTCATAGTTCCTGACCAGAATGTCCCTGGGAGGGGATAGAAGTATGGTTCAGCACCAAAGCACTTGCCTAACCTTTATCCATTCAGACAGGAACATCCCAAGTGGAGAGAAGCAGAAGAAAGAAGGAAGTGACCCCCAATCCTAGCTGTTTTCTTGTTTGTTTTTGCCTTTGTTTTGAGACAGGGTTCACTTTGCAGACCTGGCTATCATGGAGCTCACTTTGTAGATCTAGTTGGTCTCAAACTTATGGGGCTCTGCCTGCCTCTGCCTCTGTCTACTGAATGCTGGGCTTAAAGAAATGTGCCACTGTGACCAGTACAATCTCAGTTTCATGACAACCAAGGCTGCAAAGTGAACCCTGTCTCAAAACAAAAGCAAATGTGTGTGTGTGTGTGTGTGTTTTCTTTGGAATGCCTGTAAATATGATGCATGTATATATGAAGACAGAGGAAAACCTAAGTCTTGGTCCTCACATTCCACTTTTTACTGAGACGCATCTCTCTCTTCCTCCCTCCCTAGCCCTTAAGTTTCTGGGAATTCTCCTGTCCCTGACACCACCACTCCCCATCCTAGTAGGAGCCCCTGGGACTAGAGACAGCTAACAAGGTTTACATGGGTTGTAAGGATTCAAAATCAGGTTCTCATACTTGTAGAGTAAATGTCTTACACACTGGGCCATTTTCCATCCCCCACACCCCACTTCTGACGCCCACTCACCGGGATGAGAGCACCCTGGGCGTCTTTGCAGTCACAGTGAATTCGGAGCACACACTTGTCGTTATGCAACACGTAGCCAGGTTCACAGACACAGCCTTCTTTGCAGGTGGAGGGGACTTTATGGCTGATGCCCCTACAGAGGCCATCTGGGTCCGAGCAGGAAGCCAGGCAGGAGGGAAGACAGTTAGTGTAGACGGTGTGGGCTGGGCACTGCAGAGCTTTCGGATGGAGAGAAAGTGGGGTTAGTGGAGAGGAACACAGTGATGCAAAGAAGCAGAGGAAATAAGGCTGCAACAAATGACCCACAGAGTTTGGGAGTTTTTTTCTTTCTTTTTGTTATTTCTTTAGCAAACATTTACTGAGCATGGGGCATGTGCTGAGTTATAAGGAAAGAAACTAAGAAGAGTGAATCTTGGACTGGAGAGAGAGTGGTCAACTTAGTGGCTAGTATTGCTTGCTGCTCTTGTAGAAGATCTGAGTTCAGTTCCCACACCCGGGTTGAGTGGCTTACATTATCCTGTAATTTCAGGGGCTCTACCACACACACACACACACACACACACACACACACACACACACCCCTACACACACACACACACACACACACACACACACACAATCTTTAAAAAGAAGGAAGAGAATGAAAAGGAGGAGGAAGATCTCCCAAGTCTGTGTGGAAAACTAAGATCTGAGAAAGTATCACTGAGAAGAGATATGGCCCAGCCATGGATTCCCAGAATTCTTCCCCTAGACTCTCAGAATGTGATTTCTCTGATCCCTTCATCCATGAGGACACCCTCCTCAACTTTCCCCATGGCTCCCTTACTGATTTTGGTGCAGCTACTGTTGCCATCATTGCTGTCAAGGCAAAAGCTCCCTTGGGGACACTGAAAATTCTGGCACTGGATGGTCCCTTCCATGCAGGTACAGCTCTGGGTGCAGCCCCTGGAGATCCAGGTCTTTCCTGCCTGCAGAAGCCACAGGAAGAGACAGGGAGTGAGAACTTGGTAGCGTGTTCTAGAGACAAGTTTATGGCCTGAATGGATTACCCACACACTCTAGAGAAGCAGAGCTCCCCATCTTCGGGGTTAACCATCCACAGTAGGTGGGAGATACTTGACTCACAAAGTCGCATTCAGGGACTGGCGAGATGGCTGAACATCAAGTGCACTTGCTGATATTTACACTCCCCAAGTTTAGACTCCTACACTCACACTGGGACCCTCAAGACTATAACTCTAGTTCCAGGCTGTCTGATGGCCTCTTTTAGCCACTTCAGGCACATGTACTCAGCTGGTATACATTCACACAGACACTCAGATATACACATAAATGAAGTTTATAAAATCTTCTTAAATTGCATTTAGTGCTGATGGATGTGGTTTAATGGCTGAAGGTCTGTGCAGAACTCCCCCCTGCCCCCGTGAGGAGTTGGGGGCACGGCTCAGCAGTAAATTGCTTGTCTAGAGCCTTCAAATGAGTGACTGTTTTGTGATAAAGAGTTAAATTCCTTGCCTGGTACCATAGGGTCACTCACACTTAGAGGACTAGTCTACTGAGTGCCAGGCCCTGATCAGTGCACACTCCAGGATCAGCCATTCAGACATGAGTATCCTAGGCTCAGAGAAGCAGAGAGAAGGATGAAGTTACCCCAAACCGACTCTCCACGCCCACTCACCGGGATGAAGGTACCCTGGGTGTCTTTGCAGCCACACTGAACTCTGGGTACACACTTGTCCTCATTAAACACAAAGCCTGGGTGACAGAGGCAGCCCTCCTTGCAGGTAGAAGGCACTTTGGTGCTGACTCCCTCACAGTGGCCATCCAGGTTGGAGCAAGAAGGCAGACAGGAGGGAAGGCAGTTGGTGAATAGGCTGTGGGCTGGGCACTGCAGAGCTACAGGGTGGAGGGAGAGTGGGGTTAGTGGAGAGGTCCAGAGGGGGTTTGAGGAAGCAGAGGCTACAAAAACCAGAGGAGATGGAAGGTTCAAGAGAACTTGAACATAGGTTGCTTTTTTTCCTCCCAAACATTTACTGGCCACAACCTGTGTGCCAAACCCTTAGGAAAGAAAGTAAGAAGAATGGATCTTCTAAATGATTGTGGGGTGCTAGCCATAGAGACACCCAGACTGAGAAAGTACCCAGTCCAAAAGTATCAGTCCCCAGAATCTCTCCTCACTGTGTGACCTCCTGCCCTGAACTCCCAGGCCCAGGAAAGCTCCTTCTTGCCTGCCCCTGCTCTGTCCAGCCGTGAGCACCCTCCCCACTCATTTCTGCAGCTCCCTTACTGATTTCGGTGCAGCTACTGCTGCCATCCTCGATGTCCTTGCAGTAAGTCCCCGAGGGACACTGGAAGTTCCTGCACAGGATGGCCCCTCCTGTGCAGGTGCAGGTCTGGGTGCAGCCTCTGTTGATCCAGGTCTTGTCTGCCTGCAGAAGCCAAGGGATAAAGTGAAGTGAGGGCAGAAGGCTGGTTAGAGGACAACAGCCTCGTCTCTCTGAAGTGCTGACCTTCACCCTTCCTAGCTGCAGGTTTCTTATTTAGTTAACCCAACATTGATGGAAAATTTGGGGGGCAATGACCTGTGTGATTGGTAGAGCACCTGCCTACAATTCCCATCAAAGTACTTACAAAACAACCGTCCCTTGGTGGCCTGGGAGCACAGTGCAGTTCACACAGCTTCTGACTACACACAGTCTCTTGGTGGGGGTTTGGATGTGGAGGCTTAACTATAGAGCACTTGTCTAGTATACTCCAGACCTCATCAACCTTCACACTCCAATGCAACCATGTGTATAGACAGGCACATCCCAGGTACACAAAACACAAGAAAAGAGCAAGTCACCCCAGCCCACTTTTCAAAACAATCTTTTTGTATGGAGATGGGTTTATTTGTGTGTGCGGAACTAGGGCACATGTACCTGTAGAGGTCAGAGGATTCTACTTTGTATTGAGACAGCTCCCCTCCCCCCTCCTTTTTTCTCTTTACATGTCCTTCTCCACGAAGCACAAAGACTCCCTTGAGTTTCTAGGAATTCTCTATCTCCTAGTAGGAGCCTGGACTACAAACACAGGCTACCCAGCCAGTTTACATGGGCTGTGGAGATTCAATTCAGGTTCAGATCACATTCTTTTGGTGTATGTACTTTACACACTAAGCCATCTCCCCACCCCTCACCATCCTAGTCTCCAAGCGCACTCACTGGGATGAGAGCACCCTGGGCGTCCTTGCAGCCACACTCAATTCTGAGCACACACTTGCCATCATGCAGCACAAAGCCAGGTTCACAGACACAGCCCTCCTTGCAGGTGGAGGGGGCTTTGGTGCTGATCCCCTCACAGTGGCCTTCTGGGTCTGAGCAGGAAGCCAGACAAAACGGCACACAGTTGGTGTAGTAGCTGTGGACGGGACACTGCATAGCTTTGGGGCAGAGGGAAATTTGGATTAGTAGAAAAGCTCAGAGGGGCTCAAGAAGCAATGGCTACAGAAACCAGGTGGGGCTGAATGACCAACAGAGCTTTGAGGGTTTTTATCCCTCTTGTATTATTCATTCAGAAAACATTTATTGAGGATGGGATGTGTGCCAAGCCCCCAAAGTAATAAAATGTCTTTCCAAGTTAATGTGGGAGACTAACTATGGAGAGGCTAATACTGAGAATGTACCCAACTGAGCAGCGGGGCCCCAGAAGCTCTCTACTTTATCCCCCACCTATAAGGTCCAGAGAACTAAGCCCCTTCTTGCCCTGCCTCTGATCTCTTGAGTCATGTGCAAACCCCCTCCACCTTCCCCCATGGTGGCTCCCTTACTGGTTTTGACACAGTTACTGGTATAATCTTCGTTGTCCTGGCAGAAAGTCCCTGAGGGACATTTGAATTTCTGGCATCGAATGACCCCTCCCATGCAGTTACAACTCTGAGAACAGCCTCTGGAGATCCAGCTCTTGCCTGCCTAAAGAAGTCAGGAGAAAAGAAAGTCAGGAAGGAGGGGCTGGCTTGAGGTGGCCAGCCTCACCCGTTGTCTGAAGGGCTTCAGTCTACCCTCCCTAACTGTACATTCAGAACTTAGTGTGTCAATCAATCACAGGTAGAAAATATTTGGAAAAAGAAAAGAAGAAGACCACTACATCTTGTCAGGATGTAGTGACAAACGCTTCTAATTCAAGTGCTCGGGAAGCAGAAGCAGGTAGATATCTGTGAGTTCAAAGACAACCAGGACTACATAGTGAGATTCTGTCCCAGGAAACAAAAACAAACACAAGGGCAAAATGCTGCATCTGGGGCTGGCAGTACAGTTCAGGGGTGCAATGCTTCCTGGACTCCTCCTGAGGGGGACTAGAGTATAACTCACCCTTAGACAATCTGTCTATAATCCCTACTGAAAGGCTGGCAAATGACTCAGTGTTAGAGCTGAGGCCTAGAACTCCCAATGGGAGTCTGGTGTGTAGGTCAGCCATAGAGCACTGGAGTAGGGCCCAACTGACAGGCAGGGGTGGTGGCGGTGGGGCATGTACTAGAGGTAGAGCACCTGCCTAGAATCCCCTAGTGAGGGGCTTGGGTGTGACTCAGTGGTAGAGCTCCTGCCTAGAATCCCCCAGTGAGGGGCTGGGGTGTGGCTCAGTGGTACAGCACCTACTACCTACATTCCTCCAGTTTGGGGAGAGAGGTATGGCTCCTTGGTAGTGAGCCTGCCTAGACTATGGCAGGCCCTAAGCAACCAGGGAAGGGCATCCCAGGTGGAAAGAAGCAGAGGAAACTAGAAAGTGGCCACCAAACCTATTTTTTTAAAAAATATTTGTATGTGGTTTTGTATGTTTGTGTGGGGGAGTGACTGGGGAAGGACTTATCCATGGAGGCCCGAGGACAAGCTCTAGTTTTGACTCGTCTTCCATTCTGCATTGAGATAGTCCCCCACACCGCATTCTCTGCTGCTGTTCTCCACAAGACGAGCCAGCTCCCACTTTCTAAAGACTCTCCTGTCTCCTATCTCCCAGGAGGAGCACCGTAAGAGAACTACTACAGCAGTTATGTGGGTATGGCCATCTGAACCCAGATCCTCACCCCTGCAGTGTGTGGCTGTTGGCTGTCAACTAACTACATCTGGAATGAACTAAAACCCAAATGACTGGGCACACCTGTGAGGGATTTGTTTATTTTTTCTTAATTAAATAATTTGAAGTGGGAAGACCCACTTCTAGTCCAGATCTCTGAGGTAGGAAGATCGACCTTGAATCTACCTGCTGGCAGCACATATAAAAGATATGGAAAAAGGAAGCTTTCACATTCTGTAGAGAACCCTGACGAATACACACAGCAAGAGATTTACCCACTGAGCCCTCTCAAACCAACTCACTGGGATGAAGGCACCCTGAGTGTCTTGGCAGCTACACTCAATTTTGAGCATACACTTTTCATCATTCACCACATAGCCAGGTTGGCAGACACAGCCCTCCTTGCAGGCGGAGGGGGCCTTGGTGTTGGCACCCTCACAGCGTCCTTCCGGGTCCAGACAGGAAGGCAGGCAGGAAGGAAGGCAGGTGGTGTACTGGCTGTGTGCTGGGCACTGCAGAGCTAGGGGATGGAGGGAGAGTGGGGTTAGTGGAAAGAACAGAGGCAGACATAGAAACCAGGCTGGGTAGAATGATCAGTTGAGCTTGGGGTTTTTCTTCCCCTTTTGTTATTCATTTAGCAAACATTTACTGACCAGACTGTGTGCCATGGCTTGGAAGAAAAAGGTAAGGGAATGGAATATTGATGTGGATATGGAAGACTAACCTCTGAGAGCTAATGCTGAGAAGAGTACAGCCAAGCTGTGGATCCCCAGCATCCCTCATCACTGTGGGATTGCCTACCCTTGAGCTTTAAAACCCAGTGGACTAAGCTCTATCTTGCCCTGTCTCTTGTTCCTCCAGCCATGAGCACACCTTCCCCACCTTCCCCTACTGCTCCCTTACTGATTTTGACACAGTTGCTGCTGCCATCATTGCTGTCCTCACAGTGAGTCCCCGGGGGACACTGGAAATTCCGGCACCTGATGGCCCCTCTCATGCAGGAGCAGCTCTGGGTGCAGCCTGTGGACATCCAAGTCTTGCCTGCCTGCAGAAGCCAAGGGATGAGAAAGAAGTGGAGATGGAGGATGCGCTAGAGAGCCAGGCTTAGCCTCATGCCTGCAGGGTTTACGCAGGCCCTCCTCATATTCACACTCTATATCTATTCAGTCAACCATGCACCAGTAGAAAATATCTGATTTTAAAAAAATGGCATTTGGGGCAGCAGGTCCAGAGACAGAAGGCCTGAAGGCCTGTGTAGAATTTCCCAGTGAAAGTCCAAGGGTGTGGCCGAGCAGTACATTGCTTGCCTAGAATCACATCAGGCAGGGTGTGCTGCATGGCTCATAGTTAGAAGGCTTGCCTAGAATCCAGTACTAAGATGCTGGGGGCAAGGTTCATCCTTAGAGCCTTTGCCTGTTGTATGCCAGGCTCTGAGGATACAGGTCTTCACATTTCAGGGCCAGCCATACCGACAGGAATATCCCAAGCAGAGAGAAGCAGAGGGAAGGAGGAACGGACCCCAAGACCACTCTCCACACCTACTCACTGGGATGAAGGCACCCTGGGTGTCTTTGCAGCCACAGTGAGTTCTGGGTACACACTTGTTCTTATCAAGCACAAAGCCAGGGTGGCAGAGGCAGCCTTCTTTGCAAGCGGAAGGGACTTTGGGGTTTGTGCCCTTGCAGTGGCCATCCAGGTTGGAGCAGGAAGGAGGACACGGGGGAAGGCAGTTGGTGTAGAGGCTGTGGGCCGGGCACTGCAGAGCTATAGGGAGGAGAAGAGACGGGTTATTGGAGAGGTCCAGTGGGACCCAAGGGAGTAGAAACTACAGAAACCAGGCTGGGCTAAACAACGAACAGAGCTTATGAGAGCATTTTGATTCTTTTGCCATTCATTTAGCAACCGTTTACTGAGTGTGGGCTGTGTGCCAAGCCCCTAGGAAAAAAAGAAGACGGATCTCCCAAGTTAATGGGAGAGACTAACCATTTAGAGATTTAAACTGAAAAGGAACACAGCCCAGCCATGCATCCCCAGAGTCCCTCTCCACTGTGGGGCTTCCTATCTTCCACCTCTTAGGTCAGGACACTGACCCCTTGCGCCATGAGCGCCCTCTTTCTACCATTCCTGGGATTTCCTTACTGATTTTGACGCAGTTGCTGCTGCCATCTTCATTGTCCTGGCACTGAGCCCCTGAGGGACACTGAAAATTCTGGCACTCAATGGCCCCTCCAATGCAGACACAGTTCTGGGTACAGCTACTGGAGATCCAGTTCTTGCCTTCCTGCAGAGGCCACGAGAAAAGAAATATAGTGAGGGGGAGAACTGCTTCTGGAGAGACAGCCTCCCTCCTGCTGAGGACCTTGTTCTTTTAGTCTGCAGGTTTCACTCTACCAAACAAACAAACAAAAAACCACAGATAGAAAAATATTTTTAAAAAAATTGCATGTGAGGCTGGAGGTGAGGCTGAGTGAAGAGCCCCAGTGTCCAGTCCCCCATCAATGACTGGGAACACAGTTCAGGGTAGAGCACCTGCACAGCCTACATCAGACCCTGACCAGCTTTCATACTCCAGGGCCATGCATAGAGAGACGTTCATTCCAGACTGAGAGAAGCAATGCAAAAGAGAAAGTGGTCCCCAGTCCCACTCACTGGGACGAAGACACCCTGGGTGTCTTTGCAGCCACAGTGAGTCTTGAGCACACACTTGTCATTATTCAGCACGTAGCCCGGTTGGCAGATGCAGCCCTCCTTGCAGGTGAAGGGGACTTTGTGGCCAGAGCCCTCGCAGCGGCTGTTTGGGTCCAAGCAGGAAGGTGGACAGGAAGGAAGGCAGTTTGTGTAGTGGCTGTGAGCAGGGCATTCCAGAGCTACGGAGTGGAGGGAGAATAGCATCAGTTAAGAGGGCCAGAAGGGGCCAGAGCAAGCAAAGGCTGAAGAAACAAGGCTGGGTTAAATCATCAACATAGTCTGTCCCTGCTTTTTATTCATTCCACATCAACTGAGTATGCATGGGCTATGTGCTTAGCCCTGAGGAAATAAATAAATGAATAAGGTTCTTTTAAATTAATGTGAGAAACTTAGCCAGGTCAGTCAGCATTATCAAAGTGACCTTCATGTCCTCAGTCCTCCTAGACTTAAGAGTATAGGACGTACAGCTATAATGGGGACACAGGACAGGGAGGAGAAACTGCCAAGGGATTTAAAACGGTCTTTCAGGGAAACAGCTGTGTGTGGTGCCTCAGAGCTGTACCATCAGCACTTGGAGTACAGAGGCAGGAGGATTCGAACTCAAGGCCACTACATAAGTAAGTTTAACAACAGAAAAAGACAGGGCTGAGGAGATTTCCCAGAAATAAAGGTGCTTGTCAGCAAGCCTGAGGACCTGAATTGGATTTTCGGGATCCGTACAGTGAGAGGAGAGAATTAACTCTCAAAAGTTGTCCTCTGACCTCCACATGTGTGTTCTTACATGCATACATATACACACACATGCACACACACACACAATAATGTAATAAACAAAGCAAAACAGAGAGTGACCAAATGGAATATACACTGTGTTCATAAATAAGGAGTGTTAGCAATATGCTGTTCACATCAGTTATTCCTCAGCTAATTAACTTGCTCCTCCCCCATCCCCTCACTGAGAGATTCTAGGCGATCACTCTACCCCTGAGCTACATTCCTGGTCTGACTGACTTAGCATTTTATTGTATCATATATCTTAAACTACTTAGAGATGGTTAAAAGTGTATTGGAGTGTATATATAGGTTCTATGCAGACTCTATGCCATTTATGAAAGGGACTTAAGCATCCTGAGATGTTGCTACCCTTGGGGTTCCTGGACCCAATCAGACTCCTGCTTATATGGACAATTATAAAGTACTAAAAAGTTTTAATCATCCCCCTTGCATTTTAATATATCTTACTTATGTGTGTATGTGTGTGTGCATACATGGATGTGTATGTGTATTTGTGTAATGTGTATAAGGGTGCTCCAGAAGCCAGAAGAAGGTATCAGATGCCCTGGAGGCAGAGTTACAGGGGTTTGAGAGTCACCTGATGTGGATGTTGGAAACTGAACTTGGGGTCCTCTGCAGGAGCACTTAACTGCTGAGCCATCTCTCCAGTCCCATGCTTTAAAATTTTAAAGGTTCTTCATTTATGGTGAGGGCTACACAATTGTAGAGATCCCAAAATTGTTCTTACCTACTGAGTCATCTCTCTGGCCTTAACGTTTGTTTAACTATACAACTGAGCCAGGCTTAGTGGCAAAGGAGGAACAGAAGTTCAAGGACATGTTTGTTGCCTAGGGATTTTGAGGCCAGTCTGGGTGGATGACGCCAAGGAGTCAGTATTTTCCAGACACTACAGGCCATTTGCATCTATGAACCCCCAGTGCTTGTGACGGCATGCACAAGGCCTGCACAAGTACAAGCCCAACAAAATCTCAGCATGGAGAAGGGAAACGGGCGTGAACTTCCACCCGTAGCTGAAGATCTACTGGCAATTGGTATCTGCTGAGAGACAGAGTTGGTTTTCTTTAAGAATGTGGCCCCTGGGAGGTGGACTACACTCCAGTGGATCAAAAGTAAATAAAGAGCACAAACTGACTCAATTGGTTTAAAAAAAAAATTCACAACCTTGAGTGAGTAGGTGGAGTGGTGGGGAGTTGGGGGAGGGGTGAATATGATCACAATACAGTGTATAAAATCCTCAAAGAATTAATACTTATAAAACCAACACTAAGGAAGTTTGGAAGAGCCATAAGGAGTCACAGTACTTTTATTTACCTAAAATTACATATAATAGTTTAAATGTATGCATATATAGTTTAAATGAAGTTGTGTCACTTGGGCTGACAATGCTGCCCACAAGAGCAAAAGACTAACAAAACCCCCAGTATCAGGTGTGAGAAATCCCTTTGAAGTTACTAGTCAGGGGGCTATTGTCCTTGGTTGCCCTCCAAAGGTAAAGGTAAATCCCTTGGGTTGAAGACACATGCACTTGGGATACAGTACTCAAGGATCTTGAGGATCTGAACTGGCTCCTACCCAAAGCCTCCTCCTGGAGGACTAGCATTCATGGTCCCAACAGGTGCTGTTGGGGTTCCAAAGGAAAGGAACAACCAATAGTCCTATCTCGTTGGGACATCCGTGAATCACTCCACTGCCCAGCATGAAAGATATTCCTATGGGTGCAATAGTGACACACATCTTGGTGATAATCAACAGCTGTCTAATTGGACTTAAGGCCCGCTCAACAACAGAGAAAATAAAATATGCTTGATACTGGAAACCTACCCTTGGGCTCTTAGAAAAGAATCTACCTAGGTTAGGTGGTGGTGGCACACGCCTTTAATCCCAGCACTCGGGAGGCAGAAGCAGACAGATCTCTGTGAGTTCGTGGCCAGCCTGGTCTACAGAGCTAAGTGGCAGAGAAACCCTGTCTCGAAAAACCAAGAAAAAAAATCCTACCACTTTACTAAAGCAGAATGATTTTAAACTGCATTCCAAACTCCTATCCGTATACCAACAGAAGCTTGTAGCTCTCGCTCTCTTCACAATAGATGGGGACCATCTGCATCACAATTTCTGCAGCTAAGGCTCAGGGAATACTGCAGAAGAGGGGACAATGGATTGTAAGAGCCAGAGGACGAGGAGATCAGCTGGGAACAGGAAAGCTTCACTCATGATGCTTCAACAGTATGGCTGCCTAAACAAGACCTGCACAAACATGCCACCAACGATGTGCTAACATGGGAGGGGGGAATCTCATGGGGCCTCAGGCAACTTAGGAATGGTGAAAGTGGAAGAAACAGTTGTCCCTAACAGACTATTCAGGTCAGCCATAAAATCACACACACACACATATACATATGTGTGTGCATATATATCAAATACACATATATATCTTACTTTTATGTAACACTAAGTGGATCAAGTTGTATTTATTTATTTATGCATTTATAGTGTCATTGTAACAATGACAAAAAAAGAGAGGTAACAAAATTTGCAAGGGAGCAAGGGCACAGAACATGAATAGAATTGAAGGGAGAAGAGGGAAGAGAGAAAATGGTGTAGTTTACATAGTAACTTTTAAAAAAGACATTAAGAATGCCAGGCATAGTGGTGCACATCTTTAATCCCAGTGCTGGGGAGGCAGAAACAGGAAAATCTCTGTGAGATCAAGGTATAGCTTGGTCTACAGAGTGAGTTCCAGGACAGCCAGAGCTGCACAGTGAGACTCTTGTCTCAAAGAGAGAGAGAGAGAGAGAGAGAGAGAGAGAGAGAGAGAGAGAGGCTCAAAATTCTTCATAGTTCAAGTTCTGAAATCTCAAAAAGCTTATAGTAGAAAAAAAATAAAGAAAAAACTGTGTGGAATCATTTTGTACACTCTAAAGAAGGGTCTTTGCCAAGGCGCCTTCTGATTAGTTTAATAAAGAGCTGAATGACCAATGGCTAGGCAGGAAGAGATTAGGCGGGACTTCTGGGCAGAGAGAAAAGAGGAGGAGATGAATCTTGGTGCAGGGGAGACGCCAGAGGGCACAGAAAGGAAACAAGAGGTGCAAGATGGAAGAGCAGTAAAAAACCATGAGGCAAAACGCAGATTAATACAAATGGGCTAATTTAAGTTATAAGAGCTAGTGGGGGCTGGGCGGTGGTGGCGCACGCCTTTAATCCCAGCACTCGGGAGGCGGAGGCAGGCAGAGCTTTGTGAGTTCGAGGCCAGCCTGGTCTACAGAGCTAGTTCCAGGACAAGCACCAAAAAAGCTACAGAGAAACCCTGTCTTGAAAAACCAAATAGATAGATAGATAGATAGATAGATAGATAGATAGATAGATAGATAGATAGATAAAGTAAGGAAAGAAAGAAAGAAAGAAAGAAAGAAAGAAAGAAAGAAAGAAAGAAAGAAAGAAAGAAAGAAAGAAAGAAGAGCTAGTGGGATAAGCCTAAACTACAAACTGAGCTTTCATAATTAATAATTAGTCTCTGTCATTTCTTGTGAGCTGGTGGCTTACAAAATCTACCTCAAAAGGCAGAAAAGAACGTCAGAAAGTCTCCAGACAGCTAGGGATGTGGTTCGGTTGGTAGACTGTGAAGCCCTGGGGTCCATCCAAAGCTCATCATGAAACCAGACATGGTGGTGCAAGTCTGTAACCCTGGTACTCAGGGTGGAGGCAGAAAGATCAGAAGTTCAAGATAATCCTTGGTACACAGCAAGTTCAGGACAAAACTGTGCTATACGAGACCCTGTCTCCTCCTCCTCTTCTTCCTTCTCCTCATCAATATATAAAAGAAGGCACCCAGTCTAGTCTAGAGGTGCAAAGAGCTTTCTAGGGATATGCATGAAGATATACGGTGTGTGGGAAAATGAGGATTTTGGTGTGAGCTGCATGCAGAACAGAGGTAATAGAGCCAAGACAGTCTTCGGGGTCTTAAAGTCACAGCACAGAATTTAAACTTAACTGCAAAGGCAGCAGAAACCAGGCAGGATAGTGATGACACTGCCTTTGGAGAGATGAAAACGGAGAGGGGCTAGAAATGCAGCTCAGTGACAGATTGTTTATCTATATGAGAAAAGCTCTGGGTTCCATCCCCAACAGTACAACTTAATTCACAGTTCTTGTATTAGCTGGACTGGCTTGGGGATTTATTAGTCTATATTGCCTTCCCACAAGCATGAAGACCCAAATTCAGTCCCAAGAGCCCATGTGAAAAGCCAGGCATGGTGGACAGTGCCAGGAAGACAGAGACAGAAGGACCCTCTGGGGCTCAGCAGCCAGCCTAGCCTTGGTGGCAGAGGGCCTAATGAGAGACCCTGTCTCAGAAAACAAAGCAGAGCTTAGGAGATAGCACACTGGGAAAGTGCTTGTCATATAAGCACAAGGACCATGTTTCTTCCCCAACACTCACATGAAAACCCAGGCATGTGGCATACACTTGTAATTCCAGTGCTCAAGGCAAAGACAGGCAGATCTACTGGTCAGCCATTCTAGACAATAACTGAGCTCCAGGTTCAGTGAGAGACCTTATTTCCAAACAGAAAGTAGGGAGGCTAGAGAGATGGCTAAGTGGGTAAGAGCACTTGAAGCTCTTCTAGAAGATTTTTCTCAACAGCCCCAGTACCATAAGGTACTGGGGCATGCACATAACACACACACACACACACACACACACACACACACACACGGTAGATTGCTATACTGAAGAGCAACACCTAAGGTTGGCTTCTAGGCTCCCTGTACACATGCATATGCTCCTACACACACACATATACACTTTTTTAAAAAAATATTTATTATGTATACAATATTCTGTCTGTGTACGCCTGCAGGCCAGAAGAGGGCACCAACCCCATTACAGATGGTTGTGAGCCACCATGTGGTTGCTGGGAATTGAACTCAGGACCTTTGGAAGAGCAGGCAATGAAATGCTCTTAACCTCTGAGCCATCTCTCCAGCCCCCTTCCCCCCACTTTTTAGTCTATAGTGGAACACACTTATTACCCTGGTGTTCAGGAGACAAAAGCAAGAGAACTTTGAGTTTGAGGCCAGCCTAAGCTATAGAGATATGTGGGGAGAAATGGGGTTTGTCAATAGCTATGGGGTGACTCCAGGGGAGACTCACGGCAGAAGCTGCTGTTCCTCCAGATAGGTGGCTTGAGCCCCTGGTTCTGGCAGGCATCCTGCAAGGACTGCAGAGCCTCACAGAGGGCACGGAAGAGTTCTCTGAATTCACAGAAGTTGTTCATACATCCCAGCAGGAAGGGCTTAAGGGATACCCGGGAAGCACACTGGGCCCAGGTAGGACCCTGGAGAGCAGTCTGGCAGTTTGCTTGGGCTTTCTCGAAGTCAGTGGGCCTGCAGTTTCCGTTCATGATCTCATGTTGTTCCACTTGGATATTCTGCTCTTCGATTTTCTGGCAACTAGAATGGGAAAAGTAAGGGCTCAGAGGAGCTGGGCATGGTGATGGATGCCTGTGATCCCAGTACTTGGAAGGAGGGAGGCTGGAGGATCAGAAGTTCAAAGTTGAGGCTGGTGAGAAAGTTCAGCAGGTAAAGCACTTGCCACCAAGCCTCAGGACCTGAGCTTGATCCTTGGAACCTACATAACAGAAAGGGAGAGAATGGATTTATATAAATTGTCCTCTGACTTTCACACATGCACCATGGCACACGTACACACACAAACACAATTCATAAAATTAAAAGAAAATGTTTTAAGTTGCTCAAGGAGGCTGAAGAGACAACTCAGTGGTTAAGAACTTGTTGCTCTTACAAAGGAGCCAGGTTCAGCTCCCAGTACCCATGCGATAGTTCACAAAGCATTCGTAACTCCAGTTTCAGGAGATCTGGTATCCTCTTCTGATCACAGTGGGCACCAGGAACACATATGGTACACAGACACACCTACAGGCAAAACACTCACACACATAAAATACAATAGAAATCTTAAAAAAAAAACGTTGCTGGGCAGTGGTGGCGCATGCCTTTGATCCCAGCACTCAAGAGGCAGAGGCAGGCGGATTCTCTCTGTGAGTTCAAGGACATCCTGGTCTACAGATTGAGCTCTAGGACAGCCAGGGCTATGAAAATCAACCTTGAAAGAAAGTTGTTCAAGGTCATCTTTAGCTAGAGGTGAGTTTAAGACTGTCGTGGACTATGTAAGATTCTGCTTTAAATACACACACACACACACACCATATATACCAAATAACAATAAATTAAAAATGGAAGTTGGGAATGTAGTTGCAGGGTAGGGCCCTTGCCTTGCATGTCTGAGGTCCCCTGTACTGTAAAAATAAAAGAAGCTAAAGAAGCTAAGTATGGTGGTGCATGCTTGCAATCCCAGTGCTCAGGAAGCAACAGCAAGAGGACGTTGGTGAGTTCAAAGCTAACCTGGTCAATCTATTAAGTCCCAGGCCAGCCAGGGCTACACGACGAGACCCTGTCCTGAAAGGGCAGAAGGGAAGAAAGGAAGCTGAAAGGAATGGAAGGAAGGAGGAAGGGAAAGAGGAAAAGAAGAGGCAGAAATTAAGGGCAGGTGACCAAACTTAGAAGGCCATTACTTTGGGTCGATGTCCTTATCTTTCCAGCTATCCATGAACTCCTGCTCATCCTGGGTTAGTTCATCATGGGATGTCATGAGTTCATCCTCTTCTTCACCATTGAAATTCCCACACACACCGCAGACCTTGGAGGGCAGAGAGGAAGAGGTTTTCAGGGCTAAAAGGGTAGAAAGGTTTTTTTTTTCCTTTTTCTTTTTTTGGTGCTGGGGGTGAAACCCAGGGCTTCAGGCAGGTGTTCTACCACTGAGCTACAGACCTCATTGCCTTTTCATTATTTTAACTTTTATTCTTTGGAAACAGAGTCTTCTTTACCCTGGCCTAGCCTCGAACTTGATGTGTAGCTGAGGATGACCTTAAATTATTGATCTTTCTGCCTCCAGCTCCTAAGTGGAGGAATTACAGGCTTGTACCACTACATATAGCTTAGGAATGAACCCAGGGCTTCCTGGATAGTAGGTAGGCCCTCTTCCAAAAGAAGTAAAACCTATGCCTTCTAATATTTGAGACAAAGGATTGGAGACATGCTGCCAAAAAGCCAGGTGCTAGGAGCATTTTTCATTGATGCATACTTGCCATCTTTAAATAGACAGGAACATTCGGCCTTCTTCCTCTATGCTGGGGAGTGACCTCTTTGGTGTGTTAGAACGGGGTACCATTCTATCCCCCCAAAAGTCACCTCCCCACCAACACAGCCAGTTGTTTCTCTTCTCACCTTTCCATTAGAGGATGCAGAGATTTTGATATCTAAGAAATTGTTGCTCTCAAATTTGACTTGAACTTCATCCTTAATTGTGACAATGGTATATACGTCTTCGGTCGTGATGCTGACTCCTGGGATCTGGGTCGTGGCAGGAAGGGTGACCAGCGTGTCATTGATCTGAAGAGGAAAACAGAACCATGAATAGATGAAGAACCCAGAAGCCTCTCCTTCCAGACTTTGTTCCTCCTCCCACCCAGTGTACCCAGCTCACCAGGACTGAATGGCGCTTCTGCAGAGTGACTCGGAAGTTGAAGATGTCAATGTATAGCTGATAGACACTGAAGGTGTTGGGTTTAGTGCGGGTATCCTTGTCAGCCTTGGCACTGATCGTGAAGAAAGGTAGGTTCATACTGGGGTGGCACACTTTGACCATGATGTAAGTACACATGTCTTGGATAGGATGGCTATGGCCATCGAAGCTCACGATCTGGGAATCCTCTGAGATATGACACTCTCCCATCTCTGTGGAGAAAGGGGTGGATGAGGGATCATTCCAAGTTCCCTAGGAACACAATTCATCCTTCTTTGGTCATGGTGTCTCTTTGCAGTAATTGAAACCCTAAGACACCATGGGAGAGCAGGTGTGGGCCAGTGAGATGAGGGAACAGGTAAGGACACTTGCAGCCAGGCCTGAAAACTCGAGTTTGATTCCCAGAACCCACATGGTGGAAGAAGAGAACTGAGTGACATAAGCTGTACTCCATGTGCACAGGTTCCTGCTGACTTCGCCACACAAATAAATGTATTTTTTAAAAAAATTAAAGAAAGAGCTAGGTATGGTGGGACATGCCTAAAATCTCAATACTTGGGAGGTGGACAGAGGAAGATCAGAAGTTCAAGACCTGCCTAGGGAAGGGGTGAGGGGATGGCAGTGCGAGTTCCGGTACAGGTCCTTCAGATATAGTCAGGCTATATCAGACTCAGCACAACAGGGGATGTAGGGAGGAAGGTGGAGGACTTGGAAAGCCGCTCCTAGTGACTGAAGGTTCCCTTGCAGCATGGCCGGCTTACCTGCAGCACAGCGCAGCAGCCCATTCTGGCGCAAGCACACATGGTTGGCCTCACAAGCCGTTTGGCTGCAGGTGATGTTGCTGTGGACCGAGCACGTGCAGAGGGTGGTGCAAGTCTTCTCTGCGTACCAGCTCTCCCCCAACTGTGGGGCATGGCCAATCCAAAAGGGTAACTGCATTTGGTCCCTTCCCTTCCCCCATCTTTCTCCCTTCCTTCCTTCCCTCCCTCCTTCCCTTCTCCTTTCTCTTTCCTCCCCTAACTCCCTCTTTCCATTTTCTCCATTTTCCTCCTCTTCCCTGACCTCTGTTCTCCTTCTATCTGTACATCTATATTTTCTATGCGACGGGGTCTCACTATGTAGCCCAGGCTGTCCTTGAGTTCACGACCATTCTGCCTCAGCCTTCCCCAACAGCTGGGTCTAGATCTCTATTTTTCTCAGTCTCTCAGTATCTAGCCTTTGTCCTCATCTCTACTCTGTCTGGTCCCACTTTTTTTTTGCACTCTGGGGCTTCCATTTCCTCTTGCCTCCCTATACCCACATGAAGCCAGAAGGGGAGACCATCCCCTGCCATATGGCCTCTCACCAGGTGGTAGGAGCCGCCCTGGTCACTGCAGCCACACTGTCTGAGGGGCACACAGGTAGTTCCACTCAGGATGTGGCCTGTCTGGCATTCACAGCCTTCGACACAGGGCAGGGTTGGACAGTCTCTTGGGATGCTTAGGGTGAGGCAGGTGGCTGGGCAGGGGTTGGCACATGGGTTATAGCTGCTCCTGGGTGGGCACCTCAGAGCTAAGAAGAATACAAAAGTTAAGAACGGCAGAATGGCATTGCTAGCTCCTGACTTTGGAGTGACAGTCCCTGGGAAGGTTCACTGATGAATGAGGAACCCTAGTCCATCTGGGAGATAGGTTTTTAAATCTTTTTCTGTTTTTGAGGCAGGGTCTCATGTAGCCCCAGCTAGCCTTGAACTTGCTATGTAATCAAGTATGATCTTGAATTCCTGATTCTTTTGACTCTATCTCCCCTGTTCTAGGATTAGAAGCATGTGTCACCATGCCTTATTTTATTAATTGATTAACTGGCTGACCAGTACAGGTTTTGGTTCTGTAGCCCAAACTGACCTCATAATCCTCTTTATTCAGCCTCTTGATTCTGAGGTAGCAAGCATGGACCACACATGGCTCTCATATGTAGGCTTCCAATGGAAGTATGACCTGGGCATGGCAGGCAGGACACACTTAAAAGCCCGAGCTCAGGAGGCTGATGCACAAAGACTGCTATGAGTTCAAGGTTAGCATGAGCTATATGACACCTGTCTGAAATCCTGTCTTCCTCCTCAACCACAATGAATGTCCTGGTATGTGCTACAACATGAATGAACCTGGAAAATCATGCTAAGTGAAAGAAGTTAGTTATCATAGGACACATACTATATGATTCCTTGTGTGTACAAATGTTCACATGTGTGTGGATACATGTGTGGGGATGGGTGTGTATGGGCAAGGATGTTAAAGGTAAAGCCTAACTTCCGGTATCATTTCTCAGGTGCTGTCTACTTTTTTTGAGAGAGGGAGAAACAGACAGACATGCACAAAGAGAGGGGGAGAGAGAAAGAAGACAGAGAGAGAAAGGGGAGAGATAAAGAGAAAGGGTATAAACCACGCAGTCCCGACTGGCCTAGAACTTCCTAAGTAGCCCGGGCTGGCTGACCTTGAACTCTTTGTCTTCCTGCCTCCACCGCTCAAACGCTAGGATCACAGGCAGGAACCACCACTCCTACTCTTACAGGAAGCTAAGTTTGCAGAGCCGTGGGGCTGAGGTGGGGGATGGAGTGTTAACAGGTCAGACTTCCAGTTAGGAAAAGAAAAGATTTGGGTGATGGATGGTGGTAGGGATTGATGGCTGGAGAACAAAGTGGATGCCCTTCTTACCACTCAATTTTTTTGATTTGTATACTTTAAAATGCCCAAAATGGTTTGGATATTTTATACAAATGGTGTCACATACAATCCTTTGTGGTTTCTTTAGTAAGCAGAGTTTTCAACATTCATCCCTGTTGAGCTAGTATTTCATTCTTTTTTCAGCTACATAATTGTATGAATGTGCCCTATTCTGTCTACCCACTCCACAGTAGATAAGACATTTGAATTGTTTCCAATCTTTTTTGCTCTTGGTATGGTCTTGCTAGATAGCACAGGCTGGCCTCCAACCATCCTTCTCCTGCCTCTGTCTCCCAAGTACAGGGATTACAGGTAAGCACCTAGCCCAGACTTGCATCCACTTGTTGGCTGCGATGAAAGGTGTTATAGACCTAGGTGGAAGAATTGTGGTTCAAATAAGTTATTGTCCTCAGCACGCATGCCAGACTGAGTTGCAGGTCAGATGATAAATCTACTTTAATTATTTTTAGGAACTGCCATACTGTTTTCCCCAAATGGCCAAAATGGGGTTTAACTCCATGATGGTGGGTCTGCCTAGGATACACAAAGCCCTGGGCTTGATCCTTAGCACTACGGAGAGGGAAAAGGACGGTTATAAATCTCAAATCCCAGCAGGCAAGAGGGTGGGGTTTTGCTTTTTTTTTTTGTGGTTTTTGTTTTGCTTTGTTGTTTTGCTTTGTTTTCTTCAAGACAAGGTTTCTTTGTAGCTTTGGAGCCTTGTCCTGGAACTAGTCCTTGTAGCCCAGGCTGGCCTCGAACTCACAGAGATCTGCCTGCCCCTGCCTCCCGAGTGCTGGGATTAAAGGCATGTGCCACCACCGCCCCAGCAAGAGGGTGTTTTGAGAACGAGAGTTCAAGGTCAAACTACCAAGGCTCTGTCTCAGAAACCAAACAAACGGGATTGGGAAGTTGGCTAAACGGGAGAAGTGCTTGCCAAGTAACTGCAGACTATAATTGGGATCCCCAGTGACAGCATAAAAACTGGGTGGGCGTGGCTGTCTATCTGTAACCCAACAATTCAGGAGACTGAGACAAGGGATCCCAGGGTCAAGCTGGCTAACTGGACTAGCCCATGAAAAAGTTCCAGGTTTATTGAGAGACCCTACCTCAGCAAATAAAGTTGAGAAAGATCAAGGGAGACACCTGAGGTCAACCTCTGCCCCCCACCCCCCGCCCCGCACACACACACACATGGTCATACATATCTGTATAAATGTGTGCCCACACATGTAAAAATGAATACACAGGGGCCAGTAATGGATCAGAGGGTAAGTAAGTATGCTTGCTGACAACCTGTTGACCTGAGTTTCATCACCAGGACACTCATGATGGAAGGAGAGAACCAACTCCTGCAGTTGGTTTGAACATACATGCACACCACACACAAATACACAGTAAAAACCAACAAATCCAAACAGAAAACAAAATAAATTTAAAGCAATTTAAAGATTGCTTCTGGCTGGAAGGATGGCCCATGCCTTTAATTCCAGCACACAGGAAGGAGAAGGCAGGCGGATCTCTCCACCTGATCTACATAGCCAATTTCAGGCAGCCAGGGTTCCACAGTGAGACCCAAGATTAATTAATTAATTAAAAATACTTTTTCAGCCAGGCGGTGGTGGTGCACGCCTTTAATCCCAGCACTTGGGAGGCAGAGGCAGGCAGATCTCTGTGAGTTCAAGGCCAGCCTGGTCTACAAGAGCTAGTTCCAGGACAGGCTCCAAAGCTACAGAGAAACCATGTCTTGAAAACAAAATACTTTTTAAAAAGAGGAATAAGAGGACAATAACTAGACACAAGGCCAAATTTTTGATGATATAAAAATCAGACAGAGTCAAGTATGGTTGGTATACACCTGTAATCCCAGCTCCCCTTCACCTACACAGCAAGTTGGAGGCCAGCCTAGGTTACACGAGATCCTGAAATCCTGCCTCAAAAAAAAGGGGGGTTGGTGGGAGGAGGGAGGCTCTGGCACTGTAAGACGGAGCCAGGCTGAGAGAGGCAGAATGGGGAAGAGAAGAGCGCTTCCTGTGGATGTGGATGCAGGCTGAGGAGCAGAGCTGTGGGATGGGAGAGGACAGGGTTCTCAGGATTCACCAAGGGTGCAGGAGCTACAGGGGGGATCACTCACGGCAGAAGGTGCTGTTGCGCCAGGTAATCACTTGGCCAGCTTGGGCACACAGCGATGCATAGGCCTGCAGGGAGCGGCACAGGGCCAGGGTGTCTCCTTTGGTCCCACACTGGCCGTACACACAACTGGAGAAGCTGGCCTGCGGGGGCACCGCCTCGTGGCAATTGGAGAAAGGTCCTGGAGGACAAGACAAGGTCAGGGAGAGGAGAGTGAGCCCTGTGAGCAAGCTGGGCCTTGAAGCTTCTGTATAACTAGTTTAGGGGATGCACGTGTATCTGTATGTGTGCGCAAATGCGTGCATAGACCAGAGGACCTCATTCCAGTCCTCAGGATTCATCCACCTTGGGGGTTAATTTTTATTACTATTATTACTATTATTATTACTGCGTGTCTATAATATGTCTGTATGGGCATATGTGCTATGGCATGTGGAGGTCAGAAAACAACTATATAGAGTTAGTTCTTTTCTTCCAAATTTACATGAGTTCTGGGGACAAAACTCAAGTCAGGGTAAGAACCTTTACCAGCTGAGCCATCTCACTGGCCCACCTCATCTATACTAATTGTGTGTGTGTGGGGGGGGTGTATGTGTGTGTGGGGGGGGTGTAGAGACACATGTGTCACAGTATACACATGTGAAGATCAAAAGACCACCCACAGGAGTCAGTTCTCTCCTTCCACCACATGGGTCACAGGGATCAAATTTGATGGCAGGCACCTGTGTCCTGCAAGTCATATTTCCAGACACGGTCTTTTTGAGACACGGTCTCTCACTGCCCAGGCTGGAACACACCTAGTCAGCTAAGCTGGTTAGCCGCGAGCTCCAAGGATTCGCCTATATCTGCTCTCTCAGCCCCGGGATTACACATGTGGACCAACATGCCTGGGCGTTTTTTAAAAGTTATTATTATCATTTTGTGAGGAAGGGGTATATATGCATGCCACAATACCCATGCGGACAGAATACAACTTTCTGTAGTTGGTTCTATGGGGATTGAGCCCCGGTCTTCAGGTTTGAAGGTAAGTGCCTTTACTCTCAGCCATCTTTCCAGCCCCATATTCGGGTTTTGTATTAGGGTTCTAGGGATCACATGCAGGTCCTGTGCTTGCAACACAGGCACTTTCCAACTGCGCTATCTCCTCTACTGTTGCACAGCTAACTTCATGTCCACTTGCATCAAAGCCTGGATGTAGTCAGGCATGGAATCACAGGCCTGTAATCCGTGATCCCAGCATCTGGGAGAATGAGGGAGGAGGAGCACCATGATTTTGAGGCCAGCTTGAGCTACAGAGTGAGACTGAGCCCACCGTGATCTGAAACAGGCCTTCTCTGAAAAAACAAACATGGCCTGGAAATGTAGCTCAGTTGTGTTTGCCTGGCGCACCCTGGTTTTGATCCCCAGCACCACATGAACTGGATATGATGGTGAACATCTGTGATCCCAAGCATTCAAGAGGTAGAGGCAGGAGGATCAGAAGTTCATTGCCATCTTTGGCTACACAGTGGGTTCAAGGCCAGCCTGCAAAACACACACACACACACACACACACACACACACACACACACACACGACCTTGTCTCAAAACGAAAACAAACAAAAATCAAAACAACAAAGGCAAAACCAGAAGCACTGGGAACCTGTGGCTGAGAAGGACTGCCAGTCATGGCTCCTAAGAGATAGATAGTCTGTACTCCTGCTGGCCTCTCTGCCTTTCTATCTGTGCTTCTCTGGCTTCACCCCATCGTGACCTGTTCCACCTCTTGTTCAGAGCAGAGAACAAAGGGCGCTGGGCAGAGATGCCTCTCACCAATAGGGTTCATCAAGATGGCGCATTTTTTAGTCCAGGCGTCGTCCATGCTGTTCTCTTCGCAGCTGGAGGACTTGCCCCCGACTACAAAGCAGCTGGATGAGGAGGAGAGGAGAGGTTAGAAAGGCTAGAATCCTCCAAACTGAAGCTAAGCCATGGAGGGGGGAAATGGAAAGGAAACACAGTGGTACCCTCAAGCAGGAAGGCCAGGGGACACATCAAGAAGGAAGAGGCTAGAGGCCAGCGGGGCTTCTCAAACCTCTGTGTCAAAGGCAAGCATGAGAGAAGTCAGCTGGCACAGGCCTGAGGAGCTAGAACCATTTTACTTAACTTTTTACATTTTTTTTGAGACAGGGTCTCTCTACATAGTCCTGACTGTCCTGGAACACACCATGTAGACCAAACTGGCCTCCAACACAAAGAGGTCTACATGCTTCTGCTTCCCAAATGCTGGGATTAAAGGCAGGAGCCACATGCCTGGCTTGTTTACATTTTATTTAGTCTTTAATGTTTAGTTTATTATGTTTAATTACATGCGTGTATGTCTGTGTGTGGATATATGCACATGAGTGTGGACGTCTAGAGATGCCAGAAGAGGGCATCAGAACCCCTTTAGCTGTAGTTATAGGTGTTTGTGAGCCACCATGTGTGTGCTAGGAACCAAACCTGAGTCCTCTGCAAAACAGGGAGCACTCTAAATGCTGAGCCACCCTCACCCCTTTTCTGAGACAGGGTCTTATGTAGCCCAAAGTAGCTTTGAATTCACTATATTGCCCAGAATGACACCAAAGTACTGATCTCCCTGCCTCCATCTCTCGTCTGTTGAAATTATAGTTATGTATATCATGCTTGATTCATGTGGTGTTGGGGATGGAACCCGGGGCTTCATATATGCTAGCAGAGCACTTTCTCACTGGGTTACACCCCAGTACTGTTGGAACCTTTCAGACTTGAGGTCTCAGGTCAGGAATGTGACTCTAGCCATTGGATATGTGTTTATCTGTCATAGGCAAAGCCCTGAGTTCCATCTCCAGCACTGGAAACTCAGAGAGGATAAAGAGCAGAATTGGCTGGATTTCAGGGAGTACGATTCACAGCACAGAGGAAACCCAGACAAACAAAGGACACTCATTTGCAGACTTCCCCTCAGAAACTAGTTTTCCTAAGCCCAGCTCAAAGATGCCCAGGTCGCCCAAGTTCTGATCCCCATGTCCATCTTCCTATGCCCATTTTTCCCTAGGCCTAGCTCACTCACTAAGGCTCAGTCCTCACCAGACCTACCTCACCCAAGCACAATTTACCCAGGCTCAACTCATCTAGTCCCAGATCCCAATACCCAAACTCACCCAGGCTCAGAAGCTTCAAGTATTTTCCAAGCAGCTCCAAGAAGAAGTGAGTTGCCTGCAGGCTTCCCATTTGGACGCAGATTGTCATCCAAACTGTTATTGTTGTAGTTCCCTAAGGAAGACAGACGTCATAGGGATAGTGTATGTTGCATAGGGTCACCCTTGAACTCACTAAGTAGCAGAGCTTCGGGTCCACCTACTTCTGAGGCCACTTCCTTCCCAACTAGAAGACACATTGCTTAACGCCATATCAAAGCTAACCCTTTGGTCTTTTTGCTTTTCTTTTAAACGACAAGGTCTATATATAGCAGTCTAGCCTTGAACTAACTGTAGCTAAGGATGGCCTTTCAGTTTCATCTCCAAGTTCTGGTATTATAGACATGTACTACCGCCTAGTTCATGCAGTCCTGGGATGAGACCCAAGACTCCCTGCATTCGCGGCAAGAGCTCTACCAATTGAGCTACAGCCCCATTCCACCTGCCATCTTTGTTCTGAAGCATGTTTTTATGAAGCCCCAACTGCCCTTGAACTCACTACCTGACAGAGGATGGCCTCTACTTCCTGAGGACCATGGTTACAGGCATGCACCATCACATCTGGAAACCCTTTCCTCTTTCCCTCTGGCTTTCCCAGGGACCTGCTTTTGGGTGTCCTCAACTCATTCATTGGTTGACAGGTTCTGAGGACACTGTGGAGACAGGGGGAGAGGGGTAGATTTCCCCAAGGGTCTTACCACACAGTCCACAGAGCGAGCCAGCGTATAAGGAAGGCACTGTCACCTCCACCAGGTGCTTTCCATCATATCGAACCTGAAGCCCAAAGTTCGTGTAGAGCAGGACAAAGATGCCGCTCAATCTAATGGTCACCCGTCCTTTCAAAGGCCACACAGGTAGTGCTACCCGTTGGTTGTTCAGCTACAGAAATGGGAAGAACATAGTAGAGAGAGTCAGAAACTTGGGACAAAGAAGAAATGAGGCACAGTGAAAAAAATGGAGAACAGGATAGAAGGGTTTGGAGCTCAGCTCTTGGAGGTGGAAGCAGAGGTGGGGGGAGTAGTTCAAAGTTCTCCTCAGTTACATAGCAAGTTCTGGGCCAGTGTGGACACATGAGACCCTACCTCAAAATAACAACTGAAAGAAAAAAGAAGGAGAAAGAAGTCGGGTGGTGGTGTGGGGTCGCAGAGGCAACAGAAGACACATACCACGACCGTTCGACTTTTGAACAGGGAGACTTTGAGGCCAAAGACCTGCACGTGGACAGCTTTGACATTGGAGACTTCCAAGTTGCCATCACGAACCTCGTTGGTAACACTCACTATAAAGTTGTCGTCTTGAGCATTGGACCAGCAAGGCTGCGTCAGTACGTAAGTGCAGGTGCCCATAAAATGATGCAAAGCTCCATCAAATGTCAGGTAGTGGGGATCACCCGAGGCAATGCAGGTGGCTGCGCCTGGAGAAGAGAGGTCAGGCTTTGGTGTCTCGTTGCCCCACACTCCAGAAGCCTTGAGTCAAGGCTGCCATCTTAGGGAAGCTGTTGCAAGGTGGTACACATCCTTGGATTTCAGTTCCTTCTAGGGAGATTTGTTGGATTGGCTCAGGAAGGTCAAAGAAGGAGACTACTTTCCTCAATTTCACTTTCTCAGCCCTTGAAGATGTTTATCCAACTTTGAAAGTTTGGATCTGGAATCCCAAAGACACATGCATGTGCCAGAATCTTGATTCTCCAGTTCAGTATTATTGGGAAATGGTAGAAACCTTAGGAGAGGCAGGAGGCTTGAGGTCAGTCGGGGGGAATGTTGTTGAAGGGGATTGCGCTTCTTTCTCCTTCTTTCCCTCAAGCCCCAGCCATGATGCAAGGAATGTTTTGTTTTTCTGTTTCCTGACAGGATGTGCTGCCTAGCCACGGGACCCAAAGCAACAAGATCAAATGATCACAGACTGAAACCTCCCAAATGGGGAGATCAAGGAAAACGTTCTCCTTGTCCTCCTCACCTGTCTCCTCCTTCTTCCCCCTCCCTCCTTTTAATCAATAATAAAACATTTATTGATTTTTCACACAGTCCAATTACTTCTACACAAATGGCTTCAAAGTAGTTATATGGCCCCAAAGGATTGTGGGTTAACAGTCTAGCCAACAGACTCAGGACATTTGCCCCTCTGCTCTTAACTATTCCCCTCTCTCTCATCACTCTGAACACTTATGATCCTAGGGAGAAAGAACCCCCCGCCCCGAAGCGTCTATCTAAGCCCAAATGAACGAAAGCAGTGATATTTTCAAACCCATAAAAACTCAGAGAGATGGAACTGAGCAACACAAATCACAGCGGACAGCCTTAAACATTGGGTTCTTCTACCCTCATAGCTTCCTTCAGATGAGACCCTGACACACTGGGAAAGAGGGTGCCTCCTGGCAAAATCGCCTCCACTAGATTGGCCTGTGAGTACTCTTTGGGACATTTCTGTGATTCTTAGCTGATGTACGAGGGCCCGGTCCCCTGGAAGCAGTACAGTCCCTAGGCAAGCGGTGCTAGGCTGTTGAAGACAGTCGAATTTGACTTTGGAAGAAGCCAGCAGCATTTGATTCTTCAGCTCCTGCCTCCAGGTTCCCGCCTTGGCTTCCCTCAATAAAGGACTGTTAACCTGTAAATTGAAATAATCCTCTTCCTCCCCAGGTTGTTTTGGTCCTGACGTTTATCATGGCAAAGAAAGCAGAGGAGAACACTTTGAGAAAAACCTTGCTTTTGTTTCACGAGGTTTTAAGTAAAGTCTGAAAGCACAATGCCAAATCAGAATTTTACAGCTAAACTGTACTCTTAACAGCTATTTCTCCCAGTTAGGGATCGATTTCCAATGAAAACTGTTCTGCACACTGACTCCCCGGTATTGTGGGAGGGCTGTACAGTTTCAGTCTCCTGATAGGACATGCAATAATCATGCAATGACACAAACCAGGAAACCCTTTGCAAGTAAAGATTAATGTGACATTTAGGCCAAAGAAAACGTCAACGTGGCCTTAAAAATATGAACTCTCCACAGAATGATCAACCTCTTAAAAAATAAAATAAAAGAGGCCTAATTTTTTGAACTGCAAACTGCGGCATTACTCTTATTTCTGAAGGCAATTCATCAATAAAAACTCCACCAGCGGAAGTCCTTAACAAAGTAAATGGCTTACTTCTTATTTTTGTTTGTTTGTTTGGTGTTTGCTTTGGGTTTTTTTTTTTTTTTTTTTGGTTGAGACGGGGGTTTCTCTGTAGCTTTGGAGCCTGTCTGGGAAAACTTGCTCTGTAGACCAGACTGGCCTTGAACTCACAGAGATCCTCCTGCCTCTGCCACCCGAGTACTGGAATTAAAGGTGCGTGCCACCACCGCTTGGCAAAATGGTTTATTTCTGAAAGTATACATCATATCTGCCCCCAAAGAATAAAGACACCCAGCTGGTTGGTGGTGCACACCTTTAATCCCAGCACTCAGCAAGCAGAGGCAGATGGATCTCTGAGTTTGAGGCCAGCCTGGTCTACAGAGTGAGTTCCAGGACAGCCAGGGATACACAGAGAACCCCTTTCTCAAAGGACAATACAAAAGGATAAGGACAGACATAAGAAAGAATACCTCACCAAGAATGTACGCAGTAGTAGGAAGTAATGAATCGAGTTTTGTCAAAGGATATGGAAGGAAACACATTCTAAGACCGGAGTTTTCAAACAACCGGAAGAACAAAAGTTATTACTTGATACCCGGTGTTTCTCATTTCTTTCTTGAAACCTTGGTAAATGTTGGGGTATCGACAGCGTCCATTAAAGGCAGTATTGAGATCTCTACTCGTGTCCTCAGAGAGGGCTCAAACGTACTGGATCTCTGCCAAAGAGTCAGGCTCCAGGCCCGGCAGGTAACTGTCTTCTCGGAATTTTCTTCCCTCTCCCAGCGACCTCTGCTCTTCTCTTTCCTGCTTGAGTGTTCGCAGAAGATTTTCAGAGGACTCTTCCCCCAGCGCTCCTGATGGATACTGTTGCCTGGAAGTACCTGTCGTGTTCCTCACGGGTTCTTCTCCCGGAAGTACCTGCCATGCTCCTCGCGGCTTCTCTGGGATGTGCCTGTCACGTTCCTGGGAGCTGCTCTTACCGGAAGTACCCGTCGTGTTCCTCGCGGCTTCTCCCGGAAGTACCTATCACGTTCCTTACAGCTGCTCCTCCAGGAAGTACCTGTCTGTGTTCCTCGCGGGTTCTTCTCCCCAAGTACCTGCCTTTCTTACAGCCACTTCTCCCGATGTGCCTGTGGCCTTGCCCACAGCCGCTCCTCCCAGACCTAGAGGTTCTCGCTGGACACCTGGAATTTCCTGAAGGGATTTCCTGTTGTACTCCAGGCTCCTCACAGCACTGAGCAGAATATTCTGTCAAGCTCCTGGTTTCATAGATTCACTTCTTCCCAGGAACTATCTTCTGTTCTTTCCTTCCTTTTTATTTGTTTGTTTGTTTGTGTTTGTTTTAAACAGCCTCTGGGCTGGAAAGATGGTGCAGGATAAGTGAAGAGCACTTGCTGCTTTTGCAGCCAGAATTCAGTTCCCAGCATTCAGGATGTGGGGTTAGGGGAGCTTCCAACTGTCTGTAACTGCAACTCCAGGGGATGTGGCGCCCTCTCTGGCTTCTTCAGGTATTTACACCCACGTGTACACCCAGTCTTACACACAGAGACACAAACACATACTTTTACAATTAAATAGTAAGACAGTCACGTGTGGCCTGGACAGGACTCAAATCAGCTATGCAGCTGAGGATGGTGACCTCAAACTCCTGATTCTCCTGCCTCCAACTCCCAAATACTAGGGTTACAGGCAGGAAACACCACCACAGCTAAACCTTTCTTCTTCATAAATGGTTCTTTCTCAATATTTGTTCCCATCTCAGTAAAATGACCAACACAAATCTCTAGCTGAGTCCCTAGTTTTGGGGAACACTGCCTTTGGCAATGTTTTCCATGTTACTTTACTAAGTTCTGTTTTCCCTATTATTATAGTACCAGATCTTGACAAAAGCGACTTAAGCATGGGGCTTTCTGGCATGCGGTGTGCATGGGAGGCCACCATGGTGGGAAGGTGTGGTTAAGAGGATGTCAGATAGCTCCTGTGGCATCCTTATAGCCTGGGAGCAGAGGGATATGGATGCTGGTGCTCAGCCCCATTTCCCCTGTTCACGTAGTCCAGGACCGCAGCCCATGGTACCATGAGGCTTCCATTTAGTATGGGTCTTCTCACTTCAGTTAACTGAATCTAGAAACTTGCTAACAGATGTGGCCAAAGGCTTGTTTCCTAGATGTTTGCAGACCCCGTCAAGTTATTAGACTGTCAAGTCTGTAGACTCAGTATTAACCGTCACCATCCTCTCAGATGAAGGCCCTGCTCACCTTCCACGGTGACTTGACTGCTCACCTTGGGCGTGACAGCCTAACACGCCATTCTTATGGCTACAGACTTCCTGAGCCCTACACTTCCAGGGCTGGCAGCGAACGCTGTTGTTGCCATCACAAGTGCAGATCTCTTTGCAGTCTGGATTAAACCATTGCTCCTGTACCTGGGTGCAGAAGGGAAAGCAGTAAGAGATGGCTTCCTTGCCTGGCTATCTTGTCTTCCTGAAGCTCTGGGAAAAAGTCTGGTATCAAGTAGGCCTAGTATACCTACAGTGGGAGGACCCTGTTCCGGAACGCAATGGAGCGGGACGCCTGACATCCTCCACTGGTCTCCACACTACACACACACCACAGAGACAAATTAATAAGATGCTTAGAAAAAAAAAGGAGGGCCAGGAAGGTGACTCAGTAGGCAGGAAAACTTAGTGCCACAAAGCCTGAGGATCTGAGTTCAATTCAGAGACCCACACGCTAAAAGGAGAGTGCCAACTCCTGAAGATTTTCCTCTGAGCTTGGCATGTAAGCACAAGCAGACCACACACTCCCAGTTAAAGTAGACAGACACCCAGGACAGCTTCCCGCCATGAATATCCACTATCAATACTTGCTACTAAATTAAAAAGAATTTATCTTTCTTTAAACATGAATGTAAAGATACACTCTCTTTGACTTATTTTATTTTGTGTGCATTGGTGCTTCACCTACATGTATGTCTGGGTGAGGGTGTCAGGACTGGAGTCACAGACAGTTGTGAGCTGCCATGTGGGTGATGGGAATTGAACCCAGGTCCTCTGGAAGAAAAGTCAGTGCTCTTAACTACTGAGCCATCTCTCCAGCCCTGGGAGGTACATTCTTTTTGTTTGTTTGCCATAGAGTAGCTCAGCTGGTCTGGAGCCTCCCAAATACTGTAATAAGAGGTAAGTGCCACATAGGCGAGAGATATTCCTAACTTAGTTGTCGGGAGAACTCCAGGCAGGAAGAAGAGTTGCAACAGAGCCTCAAGGGAGGTGGGAGATTCCAATAGAAAGGGGTGACTTAGAGGCAAAGCAGAGTGTGGGGGAAAGGCTCGCAAAACAGGTTTGGTGATGATCACATGTAACCCTAGCACTGGGGAGGTAGAAGCAGGAGGACTGAGGTTGAGGCCAGCAAGGGGTACATAACAAGATTTTGTCTCAAAAATTTCTGGTTAAAAAAAAAAAAGGAAAAGAAGAACAAGTAAAAAGCTAGAGCTGGGGACGGAGAGATGGCTGGGCAGTGAAGAGCACTGGCTGCTCTTCCAGAGGGCCCGGGTTCAATTCCCAGCACCCACATGGCAGCTCAAAGCTGTCTGTAAATCCAGATCCAGGGGATCTGACATCCTCGAGCCAATGTACATAAAACAAGGTCAAATAAATCATTAAAAATTTCTTTTTAAAAAAAAAAGCTAGAGTTTTGGTACATTAACTGGTATTACAACTTGTTTGGTAGCACTCCTGCTTAGAATCCCCCAGTGGGGGGCTGGGGTGTGGCTCAATGGTAGAGCCCTTGCCTAGAATCCCCCAGTAAGGGGCTGGGGTGTGGCTCAGTGGTAGAACCCCTGCCTAGAATCTCCCAGTGAGGAGCTGTGGTGTAGCTCAGTGGTAGAACACCTGCCTAGAATCCCCCAGTGAGGGGCTGGAGTGTGGCTCAGTGGTAGAACCCCTGCCTAGAATCCCCCAGTGAGGGGCTGGGGTGTGGCTCAGTGGTAGAACCCCTGCCTAGAATCTCCCAGTGAGGAGCTGTGGTGTAGCTCAGTGGTAGAGCCCCTGCCTAGAATCCCCCAGTGAGGGGCTGGGGTATGGCTCAGTGGTAGAACACCTGCCTAGAATCGCCCAATGAGGGCTTGGGGGCATGACTCAGTTGTTAAACTCTTGCTAAACATAAGGCTCTGGGTTCCATCTTCAGCAACATCAAAAAAATAAAAAAGAAAAAGAGGGAGGGAAGGAAGGAAATTAGAGTAGAGCCAGGAGAGAGAGAGGGAGAGAGAGGGGGAGGGAAGGAAAGGGAAATATTTGAGCATGGATCCAATATGCCAGCCTTAGCTACTCTCGCTTTTGCTCTGACCTTCTCTTTCCTACCTATCCCCCATTGCCCTCCCCTACCTCAACCCAGGGCTTCAGAAACTCAGAGCAAGTCCTTTCTGTCTGTAGGGCTGAGGGGTTCACGCCACCTGCTCACCTTGAAGTAGCGTCCCTCGAGGCTGGTGCACCCACACTGGGACTGAGGAACACACTCAAAACCACTGAGCACGAAGCCAGGGTCACACTCGCATGCTTCCACACACTTTTCTGGGCAGGGCTGGAGAGCAGATCCAGGATGGCAGGTGTCCGGGCATGGTTTGGCACATAGGGAGTACCTGCTATTTCGAGGGCAGACCAAGGCTGTGGAGGGAGAAGCTTAAGTAAGAGAACAGGCAAGCCGGCTGTGTAAACCTGTAAACCCAGGACTTGGGAGGCTGTGGCAGCAGGGTTGAGAGTTCCAGGACAGCCTGGGCTGCAGAGTGAGAACCTGTCTCAGAAAATAACATCAAAAGGAGATAGATGAGACCAAGGGACAAGAGAAAAGAACATGCTAAGACAGTTCCAGCTAGAGATGCCGGAACCAAAATTGAGAGATAGGCCTTGGAGACGATGAGCCCAGGAGCTCAGCTGACAGGGCTTCCTGCTGAAGCTAAAACAGTGGCCTGCAGTCTGAGGATACAGGTCACTCGGTAGAGAGCTTATATGCATGCATGAGGCCCTAGGTTCCATCCCCAGTGCCACATAAACTGGTTGTCATCATGCATGACTGTAACCCATGACTGGGGAGGTGGAAGCAAGAGGATCAAGAATTCAGTGCCATCTTAAACTCCATGGTGAGTTCAAGACTAGCTTGGGCTATATGAGACCCTGGCTCAAAAAGCAAACCAAAGAAAACCAAACAAAAGCCAAGACTGTTGCTTGGAGGCTACCAAGGCCCTTCATGGAAGGCAGATGAGCTCCGAGTTAGAAGATACATCCACTCTGATAGATAGACATTCTCAATAAGCAAGTATGGTACCCAGCAAGCCATGAAGAGTCTGGTCCTGGGGATGAAGCTTCTCCAGAGGACTTGGGGGTGGGCGTGGGATCCATGCCAGACCTACAACACAGTCTCAGGCATTCACAGACTTCATGCATGAGGACTAGGGGGAGCACAAAAGTACACTATCTTCTTCCCTACAGAACCAAGTAACTGTGGGTGCTTATTGTTCTGCCTTCTCTTCCTCCTCTTACTCCTTTCCCTCCACCTGCCCCCCTCTTCTATTTCTTCTTCTCCTTCTTTTCCTCCTCCTCCTGTGTTCCCCACAGTGCTGAGGATTCAATCCAGGGCCTTGAGCAGCACATCAGACAAGTGCACTACATCTGCGCCACACCCCAGCTTCTCACTGACAAGCACCCTATCACTAAGCTATACCCCCAGCTCCTCGTTGATGGTTTCTAGACACATGTTGTACTGCTGAGCCACGCACCTAGCCCTCTTTTTGCCTTTATGTTTTGAACCGAGCCTCCCTAAGTTGGCCAGCTTGGCCTTCAACTTGAGATCCTCCTGCCTTGGCCTCCCAAGGAATTGAGGTTACAGAACTGCTGTCTGGCCAGCTTACTCATTTTTCTCAGACATCCTTCCAACTCTCCCCGCTACCTTGCCCTCATAGGTAACTGGAGTCGAGGGACAACAGATGTACCCTGCCTGTATCTATAGAAAGCTCTACCAGATCATCCGCCAATGCTTTGGGTCCTAACTCACGGCAGAACTGGGGTCTCCTCCAGGGCTTCACGGCATAGCCAGCATCTTGGCAGGCTGCAGTCATGGCTGACATATGAGTACAAAGCATCTGCTGGAGCCCCTGGAAGCTACACATGTCCGACACACAGTTATCCAAGAAGAATGAGGTCTTTATGTGGAACAGGCATGCCCTGGGGAGAGAGGTTGAGTCAGACATCAGGAGAAGGCAGAGCCTCTGTTCTCCACCTCAGAGAAACCCTAGTGCCAAGCAACCCCAGGCAGCCCATCTGCCTTCCTCCATACTCAAAGGTTCCTCTTGGATCAACAAGCTGGCCACATAACTTGGGCCCCGACATAGTTCTCTCCAAGACTGCATCACAATATGGGGGGCTCTTCTTGTTCTGACACCTGGAAGAGACCCAACCCAAGCAGTCAATAAGACTGGAAGAGCCCAAAAGAGGTAGAACAGCTGGTAGGGAAAAAGAAAAGGGCAATGCAAGTCATCTTCTTTTGTTCCTTCTGAGACAATCTCACTACATTGACCGAGGCTTAACTTTGACCTTCCTATAGACCTGGAAACCTAAAGACCACAGGCAACCCCCTGCTCCAGTCCCTGTTACTTTTGCTTCAGTTTTTACATTGCTGAGAATCAAACCCGACACCTGGTGCATGCTAGACAAGCTCTCCGCTAAAAAGCCACACCCCAGCCCCTCACTGGGGGATCCTAGGCAGATGCTCTACCACTGAGCTACACCCCAGCCCCTCACTGGGGGATTCTAGGCAGGTGCTCTACCACTGAGCTACACCCCAGCCCCTCACTGGGGGATTCTAGGCAGGTGCTCTACCACTGAGCTATATGTCCAGCTCTTGGTATTTAAAAACTGGATCTTATTATGTCTGTAGCTCCAGACGAATGACAGGCAGAAACAGCTAAGCTCAGCTCTGATAGATCTTAAAATGGGCAAAGGCCAGAGGACTGAAAGGAGGGCCACCCTGGCCCCCAAGTGGGGACCCTCACTCACTCCTTGTTCTCTTCCTCTTCCAGCTGCCAGCTCTTCCCCAGCTCGTCCCCATCGTGCGTCCTCGTGCCGTCTGGCTTCTGGTTATCATTGCTGCTGTCCCCATCATAGTTCCCACAGAAACCACAGAGTTTTCTCGAGTAGGTACTGTGGGTCCAGGAGAGGGATGAGTCATGACTGGGAAGAAGGGTCTCAGTCATCAGAGACCACAGCAAGGGCGGCAGCGTGCTGTGCGCCCTGATGGTGAGAGGCAGAAGAAGGTTGAAGGTTGAGAATATCCACTCCTAACAGATTCTGTGACAGGCCCCAGCCTGAGCCATCTATACAGGATCTCCTCTGTTCTTCTGCTCAACATCCCTTGCTGCCCCTACCTTCTCATGGGTTTAAACAAGAATGTGTGTTTCCCTCAGGTGCTGTCCACCTTATTTTTTTTTTTTAGTATATACATGTGAATCTGTATTTTAGTATTTTTCATTTGTTTTTGTATTGTTTTTGTTTTTGTTTTTGAGACAGGGTTTCTCCATGTAGCCCTAGCTGTCCTGGAACTTACTCTGTAGACCAGGCTGGCCTGGCACTCAGAGATCCACCTGCCTCTGCCTCCCAGTTGAAGCAGTGCGTCACCACTGGCCAGCATTTGCTTTTATTTTATGCATATGGGTGTCTTGCCTGCGTGTATATTTCTCTTTTTTTTTAGATTTACTTATTTATTTATTATGTATGCAACATTCTGCCTCCATGTATGCCCATGTACCAGAAGAGGGCACCAGATCATTATAGATGGTTGTGAGCCATCATATGGTTGCTGGGAATTGAACTCAGGACCTCAGGAAGAGCAGCCTGTGCTCTTAACCACTGAGCCATCTCTCCAGCCCCCCTGCATGTATATGTGTACACCACACGCATTTAGTGTCCACAGAAGTCAAAAGAGGGCATCATGTCCCTTGGGACTAGAATCACAGACAGTTGTGGGCTGCCATGGAGGTGCTCAGAATTGACCCTGGGTCCTCTGAACTCTCCAGCCCTGGGGAGTGTGTGTTTTACATACCCTCATGTGCTCTTGGAAGCCAGAGAAGGAAGTTGAATGTCTTGCTTGGTCACTTTCCACTTTATGTCTTTGAGACAGGGTCTCTCACTGAACCTGGAACTAGGCTGGCAGCCAGCAAATTCCAGGGATCCTCCTGTCTCTGCCCTGCACAGCACTGGAGTTTCATATGCACGCACGGCCATGTCCAGCTTTTAAGATTCAAGCTCAGGGCCCCGTGCTTGTGCATGAAAAACCCTTGCCCTCTGAACTATCTCCTCAGCCTCCTCCAGCTTCGCTGAAGCTCAGCGAGTCAGAGTGGATGGCTCGCAAGCCCCGAGAGTCCTTTCATCCCTGCTTCCCTGGCACTGTAATTATGGACACACCACTGCATCTTTGTGTCTGTGTGAGTTCCAGGGTTGGAATTTAGCTCTTTACCAGATGTGTCACCTCTAGTCCCCAGTCAACTAACTTCTCCACAAAGCCTGCCTTATCCTTGTCTGGGGAACCACTCTTCCCTGAAGAATGGTGTCTGGCAACCGCTCCCCTGACTGCCCTCCAGCACATTCCCAAGGCATTGTGTTTGCATCCTGCTGTTATCTCACTGCCCTGACCCCACTTCCTACTGTTTCCCTTCTGGTGGTCAGGTTAGATGCTTCCCAGCTTTGAGGACAGATGTAAATGATTAACCCTGAGTGACTGGAAGGTTGCAGGGCGGAGCATTCTGGGGGAGAAATGTCAGCTTCCTAACTAGGCTACCTCCCTTACCTGGGCACAGTCACAAAAAGCTGCTGGTCACCATCCCATTTCACCCGCAAACCAAATGTCGTCCTCAGCTCCACAAATCGCCCACTCAGACCCACAAAGATGTTATTAGAAGGTATCGCTGGGAGGGTGACTCTCTGTTCTCCAATCTGGCAGATAGAGGAGACAGAGAGCGTGATCCAGGGGTCGAGGAGAGCCCTAAGACTCTAACATCACCCCTCCACAGCATCCCTCCAACTTCTCTTGCCTGGACTGGCTTGAGGCATCACCATCATTATTTTGCTGAAGCCCATCCCTAACAGGGTGTGGGGACAGGTGGGGCTGGCTGTAGCCTGGCCTGGTGGAACGAGCAAAGGATAGGACTCACCAGTGTTTCTCTACCACTGGTCATGGTAATAGTAGTCTCTGGCAGAGTAATGAAGACTTTGTCCAGGGAGGATACGCCTTCTACTCCCCGTTCTTGGGTGCTCGCTGTTATTTTAAAGAATGAATCTAGATAGAGAGAGGAAGGGCTACATTTCAAACGTTTGTTTGTTTGTTTGCTTGCTTGCTTGCTTGGTTGGTTGGTTGGTTGGTTGGTTGGTTGGTTGGTTGGTTTCAGACAGGGTCTCATTATAGCTTAGTCTAGCTAAGAATGAACTTGAACTCTTGAGAGTACTGCCCTTGCCTCCCCAGTGCTGGCATCATTGTAGACATGCGACACCATGTCCAGTTTATGTGACGCTAGGGGTGGAACCCAGCCAGGGCTTTGTTTGCGCTAAACAAGCACTCAGCTGACTGAGCCGCGTTGCATCCCCAGCCCGCTGGTTTTCAGATGGAGTCTTGCTGTGTAGCCCAAGCTGAAACTGACAACCTCCCTGTCTCAGCCTCCAGAATGCTGGGGTTAAAAGTGTGCACCACCCCATCCTCTGCTTTCTGACACTCCGTTGGTGGTGGTGCCCGACTTGGCACTATCGGGCAGACAGAAGAAGGTTCCGCGATCTGGCCCTGAGACTTGGTAAGAGACTCAGAACCCAAGTGGAAAGGAACACGCCATGATTTTCTGCTTTCATAGTCTCCTGTCTCCCCTCTGTGGACTAGGACATCTTCAGGCAATCATGTTCATTCATTACTCCTCGTCACTCTTTTTGTGAGACAAGACCGGAGAATGGTCTCAAACTGTGTGGCTGAGATGACCTTGAACTTCTAATCCTCCTGCCTTAGCCTGCCCAGTGCCGAGAGGATGGGCGTGCACTCCCTGTTTGCGAGGCTCTGGGGGTGGAAACCAGTGCTTCATGCCCACTAAACAAGCACTCTGTCAGCTGAGCCACACCCTCAAGCAAGAGGCCCTTTACCAGTAACTGTCACTCTGCCAGGGGAACCTCCCACAAGAGCAGGCAGTTGGTACCATCAGCGGCCTTTCCCCAGGACTGTGGAACCAAAAGCACCACCTCTGTGTGTGTGCATAGCCCAACCGCTGCTTACCAGAGGGCCTTGGTCCAATGCAGCCCCTTCCCCAAGCCTGACCCTTATTCTACCATCCCAACCCCTTCCCACCCCACCCCTCCCCCGCCGCTCGGGCTTGAATCCCCTACCTGTGGAGTTGTCACAGGTTTGGGCCAAGATATAGGTACACGTCCCTGAGAAGCTAATGTGCCTCTCATCAAAGGTGACAAAATGAAGGTCCCCATAGACCAGGCAGGTGGCACTACCTGCCAGAGAAGGGGAACGGAGATGTAGGAAGCTGTTACCAGTGTCCAGCTTGACTGAATCCAACCCACCAGCCCCTCCTACCCAGAGACAACCCCAGCTCCATTGCCCAGGTTCTCACTGACTCTGACAGGGTGTTGATTTACAGATGCTAGGGACAACTTTCTGGGGTCAGAGCAGCACATGCAAACGTGGGGATGGGACTAGCGAATGCATTAAAGCGTCCCACCCACCCTTCCGTTCTGTCAGCGCGAGGGGCAGTGCTTACCATAGGGCTGGCATTCATATTCGCCATTCTCCATCAGGCACACCGTGTATGTCCCGCACTGGGAGATCTGACACTCCATCCGGCTACCAGGCAAGCAGCGGCACCGTTCTGTGCAATTGGGACTAAACCATTCTTCCCCAGGCTAAGGGCAACAGATGGAGTGTCACAAAGCCGCAGTTCTAAGGGGTGTGTGTGTGTGTGCGCGCGTGTGTGTGTTTCTATGAGCCATAGCACAAGTCTGGAGATTAGAAAATAACTTTCTTGGGGAATCTGTTGTCTGTTTCCACCATGCGGGTCCAATGGGTGGAACTCAGGATCAAGGCTCGGAGGCAAGGGCCTTTACCTGCTAAGCCATTCCACCAGCCCTCCTGTTTTGTTTTGTTTTGTTTTGTTTTGTTTCTGAAACAGGCTCTCACTACATTGGCCTGCAGACACTTCTGGGGGTATCGTCCTATTGCCTTCATTGATATGGGAAGACCCAGCCTAAAAGTGCATACTCCATTCTCTGGTTGGTCCTGGACTACATGAGAGTAGAGAAAGCCTGCTGGGCACTAGGCGTGCATGCACTGATCTCCCTGTGTTCTTGACTGTAGACAGAGTATAAAAGTAAAACCATCTATCTTTCATTCCTGCTGCCTTGACTTCCTCTCAGTGATGGTCTGTTCCTTGGAACTGTGAGCTACAGTAAACCCTCACCTCCCAAGGTTTGTTTTTAGTCTGGATATTTTATCAGAATATTTTATGAAACCAAAACATATCTTTACCAAAAAAAAAATCTGATATTTTTTTTTTACACCGTGTCTCATGTAACCCAGGCTAGCCTTAAATTCCCTTAACTAGCTGAGGATGATCTTGAACGCCTCCTGTCTGAGGATGATCTGATCCTCCTGTCAACATCTCTCTAGTGTTACGATTACAGGTGTGTGCTGGCACATCTAACTTTATACACTCTGAGGTAAGGAGAGAAGGGTCTTGAGCCAAGAGTAGTAGGGCACACCTATAATCCCAACATTTGGAAGACTGAGGCAAGAGAATTGACACAAGTCTGTGGGCAGCCTGGGGTACAAAATGAGTTCCAGGTCAGCCCGGAGCAGTGAATAAGACTCTGCCCAGAATGGCAGCAACAAAATGGAGTAGCTTTTCCCTCCTCTTCCCGGAACTGAAACATAGCAGAAGAGGAGGAGGAGGAGGAGATCTGGATGTATCTCAGGGACTTGTCTGACAGGCTCAAAATCCTAGGTTCAATCCTTAACACTGCACCATTGCACAACTGGAACCCAGCACATGGAAGGTGGAGGAGAAGAAGCAGATGTTGAGGAGCTGAAGGTCCACCTAGGACATATGAGACTTGTATCTCAAAAGAAACTAAATGAGCCAGGCAGTGGTGGCGCACCATTTTAATCCCAGTTCTTGGGTGGCAGAGGCAGGCGGATCTCTGTGAGTTCGAGGCCAGCCTGGTCTACAGAGTGAGTTCCAGGACAGGCTCCAAAGCTACAGAGAAACCCTATCTCTAAAAAGAACCAAAAATGTAATAGTTGTGTAGCTTGGCCCTTTTGTGGGATTCCTAACAGGGGAACAGGGGTGTCTCTGACTCTTTTACCCAGTGTGAGGGACCCTACTCCTCACACTGGGTCACCCTGCCCAGCCTTAATACATGAGGAGATCGTCTTACTGGAACTTAATATTCCATGTACTGTTGATATTCATGGAAGATATGTCTTTTCCTAAATAGAAATGGAGGGGTAATGGATTGTAAAATAAATAATAAATTTATTAAAATTAGGAAAATAAAATAAAAACTAAATAAATACAAATGTAGGTCTTACTGTGCATATTATAGCCATGGGAAACAGATTTAACAAGATAAACATTCCCAAGGCCATGCAGAGGATGCATGCTGCACCCATGTCCCAGCTCTGCTACCTAACTCTAGATCTGTCTATTATGCTAGTCACCAGCCATACCTAGTGACTGAGCTCTGGCAATGCAATCAGTGGTAGAGCACTATCCTAAAGCCCACCGGTAAGGGACTGGGAGTGTGTCTCAGTGGTAGAGCACCTACCTAGAATCCCCCAGTGAGGAGTTGGGGTGTGACTCAGTGGTAGAGTACCTGCCTAGAATCCCCCAGTGAGGAGCTGGGGTGTGGCTCAGTGGTAGAGTACCTGCCTAGAATCCCCCAGTGAGGGGCTGGGGTGTGACTCAGTGGTAGAGCACCTGCCTAGAATCCCCCAGTGAGGAGTTGGGGTGTGGCTCAGTGGTAGAGCACCTGCCTAGAATCCCCCAGTGAGGAGTTGGGGTGTGGCTCAGTGGTAGAGCTCCTGCCTAGAATCCCCAGTGAGGGGCTGGGGTGTGACTCAGTGGTAAAATGCCTGTCCCCTAGTGAAGAGGTGGGACTGTGGGTCCTTGGCAGATCACTTCCCTAGAATGCAGGCTGTCCTTGGCTCTCCCATTTTATAACCAGTCCTTCGAGCCTATACCCTGGAACTTTCTAAGCTCCTCTCACACAGAGAGAAAGCAGGGGCACCAGGTCCAAGGTGTTCTAGCATCAATTCCCCTTTGGAAAGCTGGGCACCCCCGGAGTCCTTACATTATAATTATATACCTTATAATATTTGTTGCTATAGAAGCAATTGCAGGAAGATGCATTAATACATTGATAGCTACTAAACAAAAATCCAGGATTGCAGACACAGCCAGGATGGCAGGGGGTCTGGCAGCTGGGCTTGGGGTTCTCACAGGATGCAAGGCATGCACACGATTCCAAGTGGGCATTTGGAGGGCAGCTCCCTGGAAGGAAAGCACAGCCTTCATCAGGCTTTTATTGCACAGCTGCCTCCGGCCCCAGACGCCTCCCTGTCTCTCCTACTCTGAACTCCAGTTCTTTTCTAATTAAGCCCGCCTTTATCCTTCCATTAAAAAGAAGAGTGAAATAGCTGGGCATGGTGGCGTCTGTGGGAAGCCAAGGTAGGAAGACTGCCAAGGGTTCAAGGCCAGCTCCATAGTGGATTTGAGGCCAGCCTGAGCTACATAACAGGACCTTGTCTCAAAAGCAAAAAGTTCTGACCAATGTTGTAATGAGGTCGAAATCTTGAAGACGTTGTGCTCACAAATATGTTATATGGTTCCAGTGATGTGAAATGTTCAGGTCCAGGTCAGGTGTGGTGGTATGTGCCTGTAATTCTATTACACTGGAGACCAAGGCAAGGAGATCATCAATTTGAGGCTAGCCTGAGCTATGTAGGAAAATAAGAAGGCAAGAAGGGAGGGAAAGAGAATGGAGTCAGGAGAAGGAAGAAAAGAGGGAAGGGAGCTGAGGATGGTTCGGTTTGTGGCTGATGTATCTGCAGTCTGTGTATGCTTTTTACTTCAAGTCCCTCCCTCTCTAATCTCCTCATTGTCTTCTACAAAGAGCTCCAGGCCATGCTCTGCCCACTTCGTACCTGTGGTAGTTATACCTGGAACCTGTGACGGGCTGGGACAGGGTGATTTACCTGTTGTGGACATTTGAATGGCGGTAGATTGCTCTGCAAAGACAGTCTCTTCAGTGGGGACAAAGGTCCCTTCAGGAGGGGTGGCAGTCTCCTCAGGAGGGATGCTGGTTTCTTCAGGAGGGACAGTGGTCACTTCTGGAGAGGTGCTGGTCTCCTCAGGAGGAACGCTGGTCTCCTCAGGAGGGACGCTGGTCTCCTCAGGAGGGACGCTGGTCTCTTCAGGAGGGACGCTGGTCTCTTCAGGAGGGACAGTGGTCACTTCTGGAGAGGTGCTGGTCTCCTCAGGAGGGACGCTGGTCTCCTCAGGAGGGACGCTGGTCTCCTCAGGAGGGATGCTGGTCTCTTCAGAAGGGACAGTGGTCACTTCTGGAGAGGTGCTGGTCTCCTCAGGAGGGACGCTGGTCACTTCTGGAGAAGTGGTGGTCTCCTCAGGAGGGACACTGGCCTCTTCAGGAGAGACAGTGGTCACTTCTGTAGTGACAGTGGTCACTTCTGTGGCATTAGTGACCACTGCTGTGGGGATAGTGGTCACTTCTGGAGAGGTGGTGGTCTCCTCAGGAGAGGCAGTGGTCACTTCTACAGTGACAGTGGTCACTTCTGTGGCATTAGTGACCACTGCTGTGGGGACAGTGGTCACTTCTGGAGAGGTGGTGGTCTCCTCAGGAGAGGCAGTGGTCACTTCTACAGTGACAGTGGTCACTTCTGCCGTGACAGTGGTCACTTCTGTAGAGACAATGGTCACTTCTGGAGAGGTGGTGGTCTCAGGAGGGACGCTGGTCTGTTCAGGAGGTACAGTGGTTACTTCTGTAGGGGTGGTTTCCTCAGGAGGGACACTGGCCTCTTCAGGAGAGACAGTGGTCACTTCTGCAGTGACAGTGGTCACTTCTGCCGTGACAGTGGTCACTTCTGTGGCAGCAGCGACCACTGCTGTGGGAACAGTGGTCACTTCTGGAGAGGTGGTGGTCTCCTCAGGAGGGACAGTGGTCACTTCTGCCGTGACAGTGGTCACTTCTGCCGTGACAGTGGTCACTTCTGTGGCAGCAGCGACCACTGCTGTGTGGACAGTGGTCACTTCTGGAGAGGTGGTGGTCTCCTCAGGATGGGCTCTGGTCTGTTCAGAAGATACAGTGGTTACTTCTCTAGAGGTGGTCTCCTCAGGAGGGACACTGGCCTCTTCAGGAGAGACAGTGGTCACTTCTGAAGTGAAAGTGGCCATTTCTGTGGCAGCAGTAACCACTGTTGTGTGGACAGTGGTCACTTCTGGAGAGGTGGTGATTTCCTCAGGAGGGATGCTGGCCTCTTCAGGAGAGACAGTACTCTCTTCTGTAGTGACAGTGGTCACTTCTGAAGTAAAAGTGGTCACTTCTGTGGCACTACTGACCACTGCTGTGGGAACAGTTGTCTCCTCAGGAGGGATAGTGGTTCTTTCTGCGGAGGCCGTGATTTCTTCAGTGGGGACAATGGTCGTTTCTATGGGGAATATAGGGACTATGATTTCAGAAGAGCCAATAAGTGGACCCAGAGAAACGGAAGTAGTCTCCATCTGTGACAATCCTACAAAGAAAAACAAACCCCTGTAAATTCATCAAAATCAGACCACCTCCCTTTCACTCACCCAAATAGGAGTGGGTGAGCTCACGGGGGCACTTAGTCACCCCTATTTCTGTTCCCAATCCCCAACCTTCACTCTCTTATTCAAGAGGCAGAGTTCCCAAAACACCTGACATGGTGCCAGGTACAGGAATCACAAAACTGAGCAGGAGATAGGTCCTGTCTTCAACACCACTAGAGAAGGAACGGTTGTGGATCTGGCCACAGAAACTCACACCATCAAAGACTCCATCACAGTGCCCCACCTGACACCGAGGCAGAGGGATCACAAGTCTGAGGCCAACTGGGCTACATTGTGATAGCCTGTGTTACAGTGAAAATAAAATAAGCCCGAGAACATAGTTCAGTAGTAAAGAACTTCCCTAGGATTCCCCTGGCGAGGGGCTGGCGCCATGGTTCAGTGGCAGGGCACTTGCCTAGAATCCTCTAGTGAGAAGCCAGGGTGTGACTCAGCACTAGAGTGCCTGCCTGGCAGGTCTGAGCCACTAGGTTCTAATCCTCATACCAGGGAGCAGGGAAGAAGCTGGGTCCTCGGGTTTCATCTTAGCCCGACACGGCCCATGACTGATCAAGATGAAATTCACAGCGACGACAAAGGCAGTGCTGGTACCCCGGGTGGCCTCAAGAAACAACTGAAAGCAATGGAGGACAAAGGAAGAAGAACAGGAAAATAAATCCCCAGAAACTCAAAAACTCCACAGTGCCTGTCCTCTACCCACAGGTGGCTTGGTCAGAACCTCAACCATCCAGCACATCTCCAGCCTCTGGAGCCTTAAGCCCGCCTCTTCCCTGAGCTCCTCCCCTATTACAACCTGACTCTAAAATGCCCCGGGCAGGCACGTGTTAGCATACTTGGTTCCCATCTAGTGGCACTGTTTTGAGAGGTTGTAGGACCTTTTAGATATAGACCACTGGGAGACAGGCATTTGATGACTGTAGGCTGACCTTGCTTTGGATGCTGGTCCCTGCTTTGTGATCTTTATGAGCCACTTAGCAAGCTCATGTAGAATGAGCCCAGCCAACATGCCTTCCCCACCATGATGGGCTACACCCTCCCTCCACCAAAAAAAAAAATATCCTGAGTTGAAATAACCCTCTCCCTGAATAAGGTGCTCCTGTCGGGTGTCCAAGAGAACTAACGTATCACCTTCCTAACTCAGTTTATCACCCACCCCCTTACTTATGAACCCCCTTACTAAGCCCCACCCCCAGATACATACAAGGCCCACTCTCCATCTCTCACCTGCATGGGCTGCTGATGTCCCTTAGCGATGGTGACAGAGCTGTTCACCCAGCCAGTGCTCTGAGATCCAACACGTTTCCACAGAGAAATGGGAGAACTGCCCGCAGGACTCCCCAACAGGAGCTTGAGCGTGGTACCTTCTCCAAGGCCGTACATGTGGTAAGCAAACTCCACACAGACATCCCCAGGGGCACAGAAGGGTGGACTCACCAACCTGGCAGACTGTCCCACCTCAGGTAACATGATTGAATCGAAGTAAATATAATGCTCCCCTGGGTGAAGGAAGGGAATCAGAAAGGTGAGACTCCCCCCCACCCCCACTCCCACACACTCTGATTTCTGCCTACAAGAAAAGTCTAGCGGCTTGCTGTTTTTTGGTTTTTTGTTTTTTTTTTTTTTAGTTTCTAAGACAGGGTCTTGTCGTATACCTCAGGCCGGTCTAGAACTTACAATATCCCCACCTTAGCCTTCCCATCACATGGAGGCTTCACAACTACACTCTGCTCCTTTAGGACAGACTCTTAGCTGAAGAAGACCCAAAGACACAGGAAACCCGGTCTACAGATTCTATTGACATCACCTGCAAATGTGTTGGCTGAAGATAAGACAGTGGATTTTGAAGTCTTGGGCTCAAGGCAGAGCAAAGACTCTATTGCTCCTCTCCATCCTTCCCCCAAAGCCAGGGGTGGAACCTAGGGACTTTCACATGCTAAGCAAGTGCTCTGTTGTTAAGATGCACAAGCACATGTGCGTGCGCACACACACACACGCACTCACACATACACACAAAGACACACACCAGCCCCTCTTCGGAGGACTCTAAACAACTCTACAACTGAGTCATGTTCATATGGGGAAGCCTGGATTTTTCTGTTGGGCTGCAATGATCCCACTGTCTTGAGCATCCTTGGCATAGTCTGCTTTCTGGGTCTGAGTCCTCATCCATAAACACCTGCAGGAGGTTGTTCCCTACATTCTCCATCATCCCTAATTCCTACATCATCCTCATGACACCACCAAGTCGCTAGCTAGATGTAGATGCAAAGATCCATAACCCCGAGGAGGTTCCTCAGTCTCCTCACCTCCATATGGGAACTCTCTTGGGGGTCCTGAGATGGGGGTGGGTACACTTTTACTCCCCCAGTTCCAGTGTCCGACGTCTCCTATCACATGGTTCCAGTCACAGAAAGGATGAATTCTGTCTTCAAAGTTGCACTGGGGAAAGCCCTCTAACAAATTCCAAGAGGAAAATTTGAGACACAGACTGTGCCCACTCCCACCCCCCCTACCCATTACTCCAACCCCTAACTCAACAGAGGTTCCCGAGGTCTGTTTTTACCCCCACAGGGAGAAATGCTGATAGAATCCACAGCTATTGCTGGCTCTGGCTTCTCTCCAAACACACCCACCACTATGAACTGAAAAGAAGAGAATAGGCCTGCAGTGATCCGGCCTATCAACCCTCCATGCCCCACCCCAATCCTCCAGTCCTCTTATGAAGACTAGAATTAACCATCAACTTGATGAACTCTAAAGTCACCTGGGAGACAGGCCTCTGGACATGCCTATTGGGGGATTAACTTGGTTGTGTTCATTGAGGTGGGGAAACCTGCCCACTGTGGGCGGCGCCCTTCCCTGGCTGGGATCCTGGACTGTACTGGTGGTGATAGGGAGCTGAACAGCAGCAAGCACTCATTGCTTCCTGATTGTGGGTGGACGGTGACCAGCTGCTTCAGGCTCCTGCTCCCGTGAATTCCTCCCTGTGGTGGACTGTACCCTTGACCTGTCATCCAGAATGAGCCCTTTGTCCCTTAACTTGCTTTTATTAGGGTATTTTGTCACCTTGACAGCAGAAGACACCTCCCATCTTGTATCTCCACTAAGACCCAGCACCTGCTCCTGATGCCGATACCCTCAGCTCACCCAACCCTACGAGAACCTACCACACGCAAGGACTCCTAACAAGGACCTTGCCCCTTTGTACCTGTATCTGTCCCTGTCCTGTATAATTGACAGACACAGCCTGCCAGTTGGGTCCATAGTGTCCTGAGAAGAGAGTGTGCTTCCGGATGTTGCCTAAAATGGAGAAAAACCAGAAGAGAAGGAAGTTTATGGGGACTTGGAGTGAAGGGCAAGTTGCATGAGGAACTCTAGGGCAATATTCCTCCAGGTGCAAGCAATCCCCTAGCCTCCCCTCCCCCTCTCTCTTTCTCTCTCCCACCCTCCACTCTCACCTATCTATCTATCATCTATCTATCTATCTATCTATCTATCTATCTATCTATCATCTATCTATCAATCACCTATCTATCATCTATCTATCTCTATTTACATTTCTCGTGTCTCTCCTGCTTTGTGTGTATGTTCACAGCACATGTGTGCACTCTTGCTCCCACTCTCCTGTTTTGTGTGTGGGCATACATACTCAAGTATGCATTCTTGCTTTTGCTACTGCTGTGTGTGTGCATATGTGTACAAGAACACACGAATGCATGTGCATACCCATAAATGTATGTGTGTGCAGGTTTATATGCACATGTGCATACACATGTCTTTACTTGTGTATGGATACCAGAAGTCAAATTGAGGCATCATTCCTCAGGAGCTATCCATTTTGTTTTGGAATGAGTGTCTCAGACCTGGGGCTTACTAGTTACCCTACAATAGGTGACTATGGAGCTCCCAAGGATCCTGTTTCTTCCTACCCAGTGCTGGGTTGTAAGCAAGTGTTACTATGTTTAGCTTTCTTCATGGGTGTTGGGCATGGGAGTCAGGTCCTCAAACTTGTGTGTCAAGCACTTTAATACCTGAACTGCCTGACTGGTTTGCTTCTGTTTATTTGACAGTCTCCTGTAGTATAGGCTGGCTTCAAATACACTTTGTAGCAAAGGCCTTGACTTTCTAATCTTCTGCCCATCAATCCTAAATGCTATGGTTATAGACATGGCCCACTGTGACTGGCAGAGCTTTTACTTTCTAGAATCCAGAGCCCTTCCCATTTCTAAAACATGGAACAGTCTCACAGTACATTGAGTTTTCCTATATCCTGAAGAGATATTCCTTCTTATTTCCCCATCAATCCAACCCTCCCAGACGCGTCCTGGTCAACGATCTCTTCTAACCTAAGAATGAAGCATAGGCAAAAAGGCCATCGCCAGCCGACCGGCCGCGCATTATGTAGTAGAAAGACAGGGTCAGGCAGCCGCTGGAATGGGTCAGGGGACTCAGAAGTACAGCTTTCTGTCCTGGTCTTGCATTCGTAGGGTCCAGGAGCATGTAGTAGCCACCTGCCAACGAGAGAGCCAGTGAAGTAAAATGGCTGGGATGGAGGGGAGGTAAGCAAGGCGAAGGCGTAGGAACTTGGGGAAGAAAGGAATTTGGCCCTGGGGAACTCCAACTGCCGCCTTAGAACGTGGCAGTGGTGAGGGGGTTACACCCAGTCACGACTGGCAGAGTGCTTGGACTGGCTAAAGACCCGGTGTCACTATAGTAAATGCAAACATCCTCGCAAAACCACAATCTTGTCTCTTTAGTGCTGACTCTTCAGGTCTCTTAATCTTAGCCAGACAGCCAATCAGTCTGAGTTTCGCTTAGTGACGCAGCTAGTAACCAAGGGGAGAGGAAGTAGGATGTGCCCTGGAGGTTCCTACACGCACGCGTACTCTTGTCCAACACCCATTGGCTCCCTGAGAACCTCGGGCTGAGGGAGGCCAAGAAACCAAGAAAAAGAGCAGGCGTCAGGAAAACAGAAGAAGAGAGGGGGGAAGTGATAAAATGCAAAGTGATAAAATGCAAAGGAGAAAGCAAGGAAGAGGAGTAGAAAGTAAGGAAGCAACAACGGCCAGGCTTGCTGGAGCCTGGAGTTTCAACCGGCGCTTTGGGAACCGAGGCTGGAGATTGGAACTCAAAGCAAAGATTAAAAACCCAACCAACCACCACTAACACGACCGATTTGGGACATAATGTTAAAGGCTAAAGATTCCAGAGAGGAGATGGCCAAGGGAATTTACCAGGGGTTTCAAATGAAAGGGAAGAAGAGGTTGAAGAATTTTCTAGAAGGTAAACCTCCCAGACCAGGAAGATGAGTGATTATAAGAACAAGTATAAACTGGGAGTGGAAATCAAGAAACATTTGATGTTGATCTCCAAAACCTGGAGGATCAAGAACTACGTGGCGATAAAGAGGAGGGCCTCGTGTGAGAACACGAAGGGAGGAGAGGATAGTGGAAACCGGAAGAGACCTGCCCAGGCAGGAGGACAGGAAGAGGGAAGGCAGAAGGGATCACCATGGAATGAATGGGAAGGAACATTTTGGCTTAGAAGACTACAAGTCTTCCTCAGAAGTCCTCATCAGACCTTGCTGTTCCAGACAGCAGCTTCTCAGCAGGAAATTCACATGGCAGAGTGTGCTGACCAGGCTCCGCTGGCCTGAACTCACAATCTTCCTGCCTTGGCCTCCCAAGTACTTGGGTTACAGGTATATATCACCATGCCTCCTTTCTTCCCCTTTTTGTTTTGTTTTGTTTTGTTTGTCCTGGAACTAGACCAGGCTGGCCTCGAACTCACAGAGATTCCCCCTGCCTCTGCCTCCCAAGTGCTGGAATTACAGGCACCACCACCGCCTGGCTCCCTCCCTTTCTTTCTTTTCATCCCTTCCCTACCCCTCTCTTCTTTTCGTAGCACTGAGAATGGAACCCATAGCCTTGTGCATGCTAGGCAAGTACATTATCCCTGACCTACATCCCTAACCCTTATTTTTTGTCTAGCCCAGGCTGTACTTGAACTTGTTGTGTTGACTAGGCAGCTCTTGAACCCCTCCTCCTCTTGCCTCAGCCTCCTGAGTGCCAGGGTTACAGGCATATACCATCATACCTAGCTCCTTGCTAGTTTTACACACTGATTCTCAAGTTCTCAGTAAATACCAGATGAATAACTGGATGAAAGAAGACTGGAAGATGCCAAGGAAGGAGGTAAGGAGCTAGCTGTGCAGAGCCCTCTCGGCAGCCACCGTGGCAATGCAGAGGTGGGGGAGCTGGAAAGTACTTAAAATCATGCTTCTTTTTAAAAATGATTTGTTTAAATGATTTACTTATTTTCATGTGCATTGCTGTTTTACCTGCATGTATGTCTGTGTGTGGGTGCCAGATCCCCCGGAACTGGAGTTACAGACAGTTGTGACCTGCCATGTGGGTGCTGGGAATTGAACCCAGGTCCTCTGGAAGAGTAACCAGTGCTCTTAACCGCTGAACCATCTCTCCAGCCCAAAATCATGCTTCCTGCCATGATCTCTGAGCTGAAAGAAGCTTGGGGCTGTTGGGCTTCCCCTGACCTGACTAGGGGTGCTACTGTAGGAGATGTAGAGGTCACAGGAGCCCAGACAGTCAAGGGATATGTTCAGTACTCACTGCCAGGGCTAGAGAAGTCGTCATCAGGTCCCACACCCGGCATCCCCGATGATCCCTTCTTCTGAGTCCACTTGGCCCCGGTGGCAGTTGGGACCCAGCTCCAGCCACAGAGATTGTTTAGAGTATCAAAGGTGCACATCTGGGACATGCATACTGAGAGAGGGGAAAGAAGAGAAGGGGCTAGGGTATGTCTCAGTGGTAGAGCATCTGCCTAGAATCTCCCAGTGAGGGGCTGGGGTATGGCTCAGTGGTAGAGCTCCTGCCTAGAATCTCCCAGTGAGGGACTGGGGTATGGCTCAGTGGTAGAGCATCTGCCTAGAATCTCCCAGTGAGGGGCTGGGGTATGGCTCAGTGGTAGAGCACCTGCCTAGAATCTCCCAGTGAGGGACTGGGGTATGGCTCAGTGGTAGAGCACCTGCCTAGAATCCCCCAGTGGGAAAGTGGGTCATAGCAATCCAACACCTGCCTAGAATTTCCTATCGAAAAGCCAAGAGTGGAAGCTGGAGAGATGGCTCAGGGATTGAGAGCACTGGCTGCTCTTCCAGGGCACCTGGGTTCAGTTCCCAGCACCCACCTGGCAGCTCACGCTTGTCTTTAATGTCAGTTCCAAGACATCCTCACATAGACATACATTTGGGCAGAACATCAATGAACATGAAATAAAAATAAATCATATATATTTTTAAAAGAAGCCCATCCACTAAAAACAAATGCTAAGAGTGTATTGTAGACACAGGGCACTTATCTAAAATCTTCCCATATGGGGCTTAGGACAGGGCTCCGCAGTGAAATATTTTCCAAAGACCTTCCAGTGAGGGACCGAGGCCATTGTTCAGTGGTAGGGCCCTTGTGCAGAATTCTCCAGTGAGAAGCTGAGGGCATGGCTCAGTGGTAGAGCATTTGCCCAATATACACAAAGCCCTGGTTAAACCCCAATATCAAAAGGAATGAGCTTTCTGCCATAGGAAAAAAAAAATGCCTCCGCTTGGGGTCTGAATTCCGAGGTTCACTCTCAAGGTTGTCGTGAGCTCTAAACTGCTTTGAGGCCCACCTCTCTCTTATTGCCCATGAATGCCACTCTTAGCACAGATTCCATAACCTGCCCAGTCTCAGGCTTCTCTCTGTAACCTGGGAATCAGCTCTGTGTGAGGCTGTAAATTGAATTATGTTTGTGGAGCATCTGGCCTAGGCCCTGTGTTCGATGAGTTTTCCCTTCTTAGCTTCTGGAATTTTCCTTTCTTTCCCAGTCAGTCTTAAAGGGCCGTTCTGTATGTATCAGAGTAATTAGTAGGATGGGACTAACACCTACGGTGACTTCACATTCAGGTTTTCGTGGAACCAAAGACTAATTTTGTTTTAGAGACAGCGTGGAATGAAGCCCTGGGCTGTGTAGGCCAGGATGACCTTCAACTTGGGATCCTCCTGCCTCCGCCTCCAGAATGCTGGGATTAAAAGTGCCCTACACCTGTTGAATGCAGAGCTGGGGATGGAACCCAGGCTCTGTGCATGCTAGGCACGTGCTCTACTGACTAAGACACAGCTCCCACCCCACCAAGGGTTTCTTGACACATGGGGTTTCCAGTGCTAAGATAGACCAGCCTGTGGTCATGTGTCCTGGTCAATCACAGTAGACAGTAGACCGGATATCCCCTATACCTCCATCTCAAAAGGGGACCTCTTACAGAGCGACTGCTTTAGGAGCCAGGGGTCTGGGGCGAGGTAGCCACAGGAAACCAGGAGCCTCAGTTCATGAAAAACCAGGGTCCTGGTCGCTGAGCTGTCTCACCCCTACTTCGGAAAGTTTGACAGGGGTCAGGAGAGGGAGAGGCACCCAAGAGGGACAGGAACTCACTCCGATTGCAGGTGCCCTTCCGGATAGAGAGGCCATCCAGAGAGATGTCCAGGTAGGCAGTGTTGCCCCTTATGCCCTCAAACATCAGCTGTGGAGTTAGGAACAAAGAGACCCTGACCCTGTGAGTCACATGGTTGGCTTCCCTTCTCTGCTGTGGCTGCTGATGTCCACCCTGAATTCAGATGACTGGGGATCCAGGTCTCTTTTTAAAACCTACATTCATTTATAGCACATGGCACAGATGTCTGAGGTCGTCTTGGGAGTTGGCTCTAGCCTTCTATCATATGGGTCCTGGAGACTGAACTTAATTCACCAGGCTTGCTGCAAGAAAACTCCCTATGTGCCCTCTGGATCCCCTCTTTGCCATTGCCTACCTTCCTAGGCCCCCTTCTTCCAGACCCTTCCCTCCCAGATCTCTAGATCTGCTCTCGGCCTCACCCTGCTTGGTATATCACGATCTGCTGGCACAGTGACAGTCGTGGGCATCCAGGAGGGACTCTGGGTGTTCACATGTTTCCAGAGCACGTTGGGCCGCTGGTGCTTCCGACCCCTGAGCAGCATCAGTCTGAGCTGCGCACCCCATGACAGCCCAAACATGTGGAAGGCGAAATGGATGCAGAGTGGGCCTTGCTCCCATATGTCCGGGCTGCGCAGGCGTGCCACTCCACCCCGAGGGAAGGTGCTGGCATCCATGTGCAGGTAATAGCCCTCTACGGGGAGACAGAATGGGGGAGGTCGAGACCTCACTGTCTTCAGGAGCTGACCTCTCCACCCTCCCTCCCCTCAGCTCAGCTTCCAGTAGTCCCCTCCCAACTTCATCCCTTTTCCACGGTCCTCCTCCAAATTTTAGGCTCCCCTTCATTACCTCCATTGGGGTAGCCCCCGGGGGGGCCAGAAGTGCCAGTGGGGGAGGGTCCAGTCGTCCGAAGCCAGTCCCCATCATCCGAGGACATTTGAGACCAGTCACACAAAGGTCTGGTGTCATCTTCAAAGTCACACTTTGTGAGAATGGCTGGGAAGAAAGAACCTCTGTGAGGCCTCGGGAAGGGCAGAGGGCAGGGGTCAGGTCACAGAGCCTCACTGGGAGATGGGGTCAGCAGGGTCACTAAGCTTAGAGAAGGCCACCACTAAGCGTTCAGAGGTGCGAGAGACAGAATTCCTGGGGAGAAATGCAAAGCTAGGGAAAAGAGTAAGCAGTTGATAAAGTCAGGGAGCGCAAACTGGAGTCTGGACTGATTTAGTCAGACAGGCCTTGTCTTGGCATGTGTTTTATTGTGGCTATTATCATATTATCTTGGGTGTGTGTGTATGTGTGCGTATGTGCACATGAGCATGCTCGAATGCACACTAACATGGTGCATACATGTAGAGAGCAGAGGTTAACTGCTCAGGTGTCTTCTTCAGTCCACCTAATGTTTTGAGACAGGGTCTCTCATGACCCAGGGCTCATTGATGCTACTATTCTGACTGGCTAGAGAACACTAGAGATAGGTCCTTCTGTCTCTCTACCTCTCTACTGCAGGGACCAGAGGGTGTGCTCCCAACCCAACTTTTTACATAGATACTGGGGGATCGAACCCAGGTCCTTACGCTTGTGCAGCAAGCACTAACTTTACCTACTGAGTTATCTCCCACATCTCCTCCCGCTTAAATAGGTCTCACATTCTCGCAGAGTTCAAAGTGGCCTTGAACTCCGGATCCTTCTGCCTCTGCCTCCTGAGAGCTTACAAGTGTGCACTCTAATACCTAGCCAATTGTTTTGTTCTTCTGAGACAAGGTCTTGTTACTGTGCAGCCCAGGCTGGATCTGAACTTACCAAAGCTGGGATGACAGACCTGTGCCACCATAGCCAATGTATCTGTTATATTTAATCTGAACGGGAATCTTTCAGGTGGAGTTGACAGTTCCTCCACTGTTCCCTCTGCCCTTGGCTGGTTAGAAGCTGCCCTTAGCACATTTTTCCTATGTTGTGCCCTGACAACAAGCCCTGTGCTAGGGACTGGAGTTCCCGGTTAGAACACGGAGTGTGAGGAGGGAAAGGAGGCCCCAGCAGCCCTGGTCTCGACTCACAGCTCTCCATCGAAGTGTGCGTCATTGGTTTCCAGTCCAGAGAATTCTGTCTCCTTGGGATTGGTTTTCAGAAGGCAAAACACATTGCCTTTGTCATTATTAAAATTATCATAAGACTATGATTATATTTTAATACTATTTCTTTTTTTTCTTCCTTCTTTCCTTCCTTCCTTTCTTTTGACACAGGGTCTCACGTAACCCAGCCTAGCCTCAAGCTCCCTGTAGAACTGAGGAAAACTTATGCTCATAATTCTCCTGCCTCCACCTTCTGAGTATTGAAATTGCAGGAGTTCACTACGACACCCAGCTTTTTTTTTTCTTTTAGAATCAAAAGTCTTTGGATGAGTAGCCCAGGCAAGCCTCAAGCTTTCAATCCTCCTGCCTCCCTCATCCCTAGTGCTAGGATTGCAAGTTTGCACCACCACATCCAGTCCTCCACGCTTTACAAACCCCACAAAGAAACCCTTCCTCTTCAAACTGCAGCTTGGGTCATAATTCCCCACAATTCACCTGCACCTTGTCCAAAGCCCTGCACTCAAGTCCAAGGAACCTAAGCTACCTCTCATTTTCTGGTGCTAGAACTCAGCTAGGCCCACCCTGGGGTGTTGGGGAGTGTAAATTCTTTGTCTTTCCCTCCCCGGCTTGGCATGCCACCTCACTTTCAGGTTGTGGAGATGTAAGGCTCTCCCCATCCTGGTCAGTAGATCGTCTTCTCCCCATTCCCACTCTTCTGACCTTTCTCCCCAGTCTTCTGTCTTCTCGGTTTTTGAGGCAGGGTCCCCTGTAGCCCAGGCTTGCCTAAACTTGACGTGTAATCAAGTGTGACCTTGAACTCCCTATCCTCCTGTCTCCACCCTCCAAATGCTAGTGTTACGTCCTGAGTCACCACACCAGGTTCATACGACATCCAGAACTTCAACCCTGCGCTTTGTGTTTGTCGTGCAAGCCCTTGACCAACAGAGTTACATCCTTAGCTCTTTTCATTTTTTATTTGTTATTCTGAGGCAGGGCTTCCTGCGGTTGAGGCTGGCCTTGAACTCCTGATCCTCCTATCTCTGCTGAGATGGCAGACATGCACTACCATACTGAGCTAGGCCTCTTTGTTATTAACCTTCCCGCTCCCTCTGGCATCCCCAGATGCAACCCAGAAAACCTCTGCCCCATTTGTCACTGCTGTCCCCAAGTCCAGCTTACCGCACAGGGGCAGGTGCTTGGTCCTGGCCCCAGGCAGCCCCCACCAGCAGCGTCAGAGTCCAAACTAGAGGAGCCATGGGAGACCTTGGAGGTAGACCTCAGGTAGAGAGAAAGATTATGGCGAAGGTCCCAGGCCACTTTATAAGCACCTGGCCCTCCTCCCTTGTCACCTTGCCATTAAAAAAAAAAAAATCGCGGAATTAAAGAAGTCCCTGGGAAGTTAAAATTTACCAGAGTTGACACTGGAAAACCAACAGAAGGGTTATAGACAGAAATAGAGGGAAAAGAAGAAGGGAGAGAAACCAGTCCAGGACGTCTAACATCAAACAAAAGTAATTAAAAAAGAAACAACAACGGAATGGGAGAGTCTCACAGAGCCCAGGCTGGCCTCTGATTCATGATGTAGGCCAGGCTAGCCTTGAACTCCTGATCCTCCTGCCTCCAAATTCTGGGATTATAACCGTGGTAGGCCAGCTAAGAAAACACAAGAGAACTGTCCCCAAACTGAAGCACCCAGATCTCTAGATTAAAAGGTACCTAGTACCGTGGATTCAGAGAGCCACAGAAACACTTTGTGAAACTTCAGACTATCAGGGCCGATGGGAAAATCGGGAACCCTTTTAGTTAGTAAGGAACAAGTCACATACTAAGGACCAGGGATCCTCATGGCTTCTGTTTCCTTAGTAGCAACCATAGGTTCTAAACGCAGCAGAACAATAGCTGCAGAATTCTGATGGAAAAATCTTTCAGACCTAACATTCTACAGCTGGAGACAGTGGCAGATGCTGTTGAGGGCCAAGTGAACAGCTGGAAATAATGAGGGACAGAGAATTGAAGGACATGCTCATAGAGTACATATATACAATCTGACAAAATAACTTTGTGTAGGTGTACAAATAATGTAAACAAAAGTAACAAATATAATTTGAACTTGTATCAATATACAAAAACCATACCAATGTAAATTATTCATGAATAATAGCTCACAAGTATTCACTCTGTTGCCCACTATTACTATCCCCCCTTTTTTTTAACAAACATAGTTTTCACCCCAACCCTCTATCTAATACAAGTAATAATCAACAACCCCTAAACAGTGTTCCCAAACCTATGGACAAACTTTTTTGAAATGGGGGCATCGTCTTCTAGAACTGCTTCCCGCTGTCATGGGGGCGATGTTCTCTTAATAGGATCCTGCAAAATTAAAGTGATGGTTAAGTTTCAAAATTACTGTCTAGTGTAGTTGCAAACAGTTTCTGAGCAGTCAATAGATAGGTTTTCTTTTTTCTTTCAAAGTTCTTATTTGGAGTTCTGGCCAGAATGTCAGGAAAAGGTGCACCATTTCAGCAGCTGGTACCCCAAAGCTGGTCTTATAGTAGCGCTGTCTGCATCACGATGTCATCTCAACTAGGTATAGTTGTTGCTGTGGGGCCCCATCTTCTTCCTGGAAGCTTCAAAGATTACTACAGGAAAAGGATCAGTAGGAAAATCTATGTTCATCATGAAAAACGTGAACATCATTCATATAGACATACATTCAATGAAGAATATGATATAGACAAAAAAGGCATTTTTTCCTATAGTCTTTCTTCTGTCCCATACCAGATGGCTCCTGATATGAGACAGAAACTCTAAATGTTCATTTTAACAACATGCATTGATTTGGAGAAGTACAGAGCCATTGTTCAACTCCAAAATCAGCTGAATATATTAATATCTATGCGTGTGTTTGTGTTTGTGTGTGTTTGTGTGTATAAATGTAACCCATACCTGGATTCATAAGCCATATTCTGTTTTCTAGGTGCTCCTTAGTGGATAGTTATTTTTTCTTCTAGCAGCATTCAAACATCCAGGGTCTCTTGAATTTTTGATGATGTCCATTTTCCTGCAAAGATAGGAGCAGAATCCTGCCCCAACCCTATATGGCTTTCCTTACCGCCTGTATGGTTGTCACCATTGTGAATGAGCTGTCATTTCTCTGTTTCAATAGGTTTCTCCTTTTCAGAGAGAATCTTTATTACATTTGATGGTATCCATAATTTTTCTTTTCTTGTGGAAACAAGAGTGAAACCTCTTCCCCAACGTAGTACATCTCCTGGTTTCCACTGTGAGGTCAACACATTCTTGAAATACGCTGGCTGATTCAATTCAGAAGTTTTTCCATTATCCAGTGCCTCTCTGCTGCTATTGTTCCTTTCTCATTAGCGTTAAAAAAATTCAAGGTTAATAAAGCATTATGCAATCTATTTCGGGGGGTATTTTCCATCCCTTTCTGTTTGTTCAACATATTCTTTATAGTATGATTTGACCTTTCTATAACTGCCTGACCTATGGGATTATTTGGTATACCTGTAATGTGATTTATATTATAATAAGCAAAAAAATTTTCATTTTTTTAGATACATATGCTGGACCACTGTCTGTCTTTATTTGTGCAGGTATACCCATGATGGCTGTAACTTTCAATAAATGTGTGATTACCGAATCAGCTTTTTCTGAGCTCAAGGCAGTTGCCCATTGAAAACCTGAATACATGTCTATGCTATACATATGGTGTACATATTTTAATTTACCAAATTTCATAAAGTGGAACACATCCATCTGCCAGATTTCATTCCTTTGAGTACCCTTTGGGTTACTCCCTGCAGGCAATGGTACTTTATTATACAAAGAGCAAATAGGACATCTCTTTATAATCTCCTTAGCTTGTTGCCATGTAATAGAAAGCTCTTTCTTTAAACCTTTGCTATTGATATGACGTTTTTTATGAAATTCTGAGGCCTGCAACACACTTCCAATCAATAATTGATCAATTTCTGCATTACCTTGTGCTAGAGGACCTGGCACACCCATATGGGATCGGATGTGTGTTATGTACATAGGACAAAGCCTATTCCTGATTATGTCTTGCACCTGGATAAACAATGAAGTCAATTCTGTATCATCTGGTATAAATTCAGTGGTTTCAATATACAAAATAACTCTTTCTGCATATTGTTAATCAGTAACTATATTAAGAGGTTCTTCAAAATCCCTTAGAATCATAAGAATGGCATATAATTCTGCCATAACTTTTTTATTTCATCAGTAGTGAAATGCACTATAATTTCTGCTGGGTCTATACCTGCTAGTTGACAAAGTCTCAGTTTACCTTTTATAATTAATTCAGAGACTTTTTCCATATAAGTTCTTAATTTTTTACTTGGTCTATGTGGTATAAAAATCCATTCTAAAATAATATTTTCCCTCTGCATTAAAATTCCCATAGGAGAAATTCTGGAAGGCAATATGACTAGACTACAACGAAGATTTGGATTCACCCTATCCACATGTACCTCCTGTAATTTTTCCTCAACCATTGTCAGTTCCTTTTCTGCTTCAGCTGTTAATTCTCTGGGACTATTCAAATCTTTATCAGCATCTAACGTTTTGAATTATTAGATCAGGTGTTATCCCAACAGCCAGTCATAGACTGGAAATGTCTCCAAACAATCTTTGAAAGTCATTAAGAGGATGTAACCAGTCTCTCCTATTTTGTGCCTTTTGTGTCCTAATTTTCTGTAAACCTGTTATGTAACCTAGGTAATTAACAGGATCTCCTCTTTAAATCTTTTCAGGAGCAATTTGTAATCTCCACCTAGGCAAGACTTTCTTTACTTCTTCAAACATCCTTTCTAAAGTATCTATATTTGAATCAGATAACAAAATGTCATCCATGTAATGGTAGATTATAGACTTAGGAAATTGCTTATGAATTATTTCCAATGGCTGGCTGACAAAGTATTGACACAGGGTGTGGCTATTGAGCATTCTCTGTGGGAGGACAGTTCATTAATATCTCCTAGTAGGCTGAGAACTATTACAAGTAGGCATTGTGAAGGCAAACTTTTTTCTATCCTTTTCATGTAAAGGTACAGTGAAGAAACAATCCTTTAAGTCAATAACTATGAGAGGCCATCCCTTTGGTAACAGAGAAGGCAGAGGAGTTCCAGATTGTAGAGGGCCCATAGGTTGAATAACCTGTTGATAGCCCTTAGATCTGTCACCATTCTCCATTTTCCAGATTTCTTTTTAACAACAAATACAGGAGAATTCCAAGGGCTAGTAGATTCTTCTATATGTTGAGCATCTAGTTGCTCTTGTAGCAGCTGTTCTAAAGCCTGCAACTTTTCCTCAGCTAGAAGCCATATTGCTTAACCCATATTGGTTTCTCAGTTAACCATTTTAAAGGTAGGGCTGATGGTATCTCTGAAGGTTTATCAATTGCTTTGTGTACAGCCCGAATGGCTGGTGTCTGTCATCTATATCTTGTAATATTTTCCTCAGAAACATAAATTTTTGGGGTTGCAGGAATGTTAATCTGGGCATTCCATTGCTTCAATAGGTCACAACCCCACAAAATCACTGCAATATTGGCTATATATGGCCTTAGTCTTCCTACTTGCCCTTCAGGCCCTATGCATTCAACACATCTTATGCTTTTTGTTTTACCCGATATAGGGTTCCAATTCCCAGGAACTGAACATCTACCTCCTGAAAAGGCCAATCAGATGCCAAGATTCTGGAGTAATGATACTTACATCTGCACCTATGTCTAATAAGCCTTCAATAAAAATTCCATTTATACAAACGCTTAGCTTTGGTCTTTGATCATTAATAGAAGTCTGCCAAAATATACATTTCCTCTGTCCTATTGGATTTTTTTTTACTTAACTTCCACATTTAACCCATCATTCAGACCAGTATTGCTTTTTACAGTAGGCATTGGATTTTTTAATTTTCTTGATGAGACACGTTCTCCACTGTAACTGGGAATTACTGGGCCACCTTTGGCTTGGGGGCCTGCAAGAGGCTCCTCAAGGAGTTTTCTGATAGTATCAGGTTGCCTTGTTTGTCTGTTGTTGATCTGCATTCGTTGGTCCAATGTAGGCCTTTACCATACCTTCTACATATTCCTGAAGGCTGAGGTCTCCTGTTTTTGCCTTCCCCAGAGGAGACATTATTCATAGAAATTCCTTGCCTACAATCTCTTCTCAGATGTCCTATTTTACCACAATTGAAACATTTGGCAGTTTGATGTCTCCTCATGGCTTTGGAAATCGCTTCTCCTCCCCAAGATCCATCATTATTGTCAAATGTCTCGACATTCATTGATGCAGAATCCATTCATCTATAGGTGCTGATCTGAACCTTAAAGGCCTAATTATCTTTTTGCATTCTAAGTTTGCGTTTTCAAAAGCCAGAGATTCAAGAATTGTTCGTCTAGCTTCTGGGTTTGTTACTCCTCTTTGTAGAGCCTCAATTAATCTTTGTAAAAAATAAGTAAAGGGTTCTCTCTGTCCCTGCCTAACCCTGGTATATGATTTCATCCTTTTCCCTAGTTTTTGAATTCTATCCCAAGCATTCAAGGCTGCTTTGTGGCATAGGGACAGTTCTTCGTTGTAAAGAGCTTGGACCTGTGGTTCAGCATATGGTCCAAGAATTTGATCTTGGAAAACCTCAAGACCTTTAGCTTTTCCCTGTTGTTCCAAATGTTTGGCTTCTTCTCTGAAATAAATTCCAAACATCAGCTAAGGTCCATCATCCAGGACTGCTGAAACTAATTGAAAAATGTCATGGGGGGGGGTTGCCCTGACGTTAGAAGTCCAGGTCTTTATCATCTCCTTAACAAATGTGGAATGCAAGCCATAAGTTACAACAGCTTGCTTAATTTCTTTTAGATCATTCATTCCTATTGGCGTCCATCTACCTTCTTGGGCTCTCTTCGAGCCTTTAGAAGTTGATGCTTTGTCAGAGTAAATTACAGGGTAGGACACTAAAACCCTGGGTAATCCAGTTCTGACAGCCACTGGCGATGTTGCATCCTGTCCTTGTGCCTTCTTTTCCTGTTCACCAGCTCCAATAATTTCCTCAATCATTTCAAATCTTTTTATCGTTGTTTTTTGTAAAGCCTGAATCTCCTGGCCTGTGTATATTTCTAGTGATTTCATGGAGGCATCAAGTCTCTGGTCCTTATTCTGCACCTGTGATTCCAAGGTTTTAATGTTCTCCTTTAAAGATAACATCTCCTCCTTGGACTTTTCTTGAATATTATGTAGATTGCCATCCTGGAGGTAGATTCGGTCTTTTACTTTATCAAAACTTTTTGATAATTTTTGAATTTAAAATTTAACAGTATGAATTCTTTCAGATAACTTCCTAGTACTGTTAGATATGGAGTCAATTCTGTCTATCATAGTATCCACTTGTTCAGATAACCTTTGATTTTCGATTATTTTAATCCTGTCAACTAACTGTTCCTTATTAGTCCATAAAGATTGTATCATTCCTAGGAGTGCCATATTCTTCCTTAATGATAGAATATGGAGAAGAAAACTGAAACCTAGTAATCAGTAAATTGAGGTATCCCCATAGTCATATAAGCCTCTCATGATATAATCTATTGTATTAGTAAAGAAAGCAGTAAAAGTTGCATTGGAAATGAAAACTGCCATATTACCTGTTTTCCAGCAGATGGCGATGTTTCCAAGTCACAACTAGAATCAGTGCGAAGGTGACAGAAATGGTCCTGTTTCAGTGTCTGCCTTGGTATTTGCTAAAGACTGGGAAATATGAGTTGCTCAACAAAGTAAATGTAATTAAATCAATTCCATACATGGAACCAGAAACCCAGAATCCAGGGGCAGAGAAGAGCAACCCAGAAGCCGCATACACCGCCATGTGACAAAGAGTTGCCCCGAACCACTTGTGCTCTGACTTGCGTTGCTCAGGAAAGAGCAAACCAGGCAGGCAGAGACTGTCTGGGGCCCATGGAGCCCAGGAGGCGTGGAGTTTAAATCCACATGGGCACCAGGTGTAGACATTAATCACAAAACAATTCCATACCAGTTTGGAATTATGATTAATAAAAGGGTTATTTATTTAAGGAAAAAATTTACAGATCACTGTCCTAGACAACAACCCTCTGTGTGACCAAGAACAGAGTCACGGAGCTGGAAGCAGAGCTGGAAGCAAGAGAGAGAGCATGCTGCAGGGCTACCACTGCATTTTAAAGCAAAATATCCACACCCAAGTGGGCTGGTATCTTAAAGGCTATTGGCTGAAAGAGTGGAGGGAGCTCCCACAGCACACATCTGCCTCTACTCAAACCAAACAAAACCAAAAACCTTCTAGGCCTGATAGCCCAGGTCTGTCTTCCCAGTTACTCAGGTGGCTGAGGCAGGATGACTTCAAGTTCAGGCCAACTTAGACAGCTGAGCAAGACCTTGTCTCAAAATGAAAAAAAAAATTATTATTGTTTGGTTTTGCTTTTGTGTTGTGGTTTTGCTTCTCTGTGTGTGTGTGTGTCTGTCTCTGTGTGTGTATGTGTGCATGCCTGTGTGTATGTCTGCGTGCGTGTGAGAGTGTGTGTGTAGGTTAGAGGACTACCTCGGGTGTCATTCCTCAGGAATCTTTCACCTTTTGTTTGAAATGGGGTCTCTCATTGGTCTGGAGCTCTCATTGGCTGGGCTAGCTGTCCAGTGAGTCTCAGGACCCACCTGTCTTCACTTCCCCTCCTTCCATCACTGGGATGACCACCGTATCTACCTTTTTACCTGGCTCTGGGATCCAAACTCAGGTCCTTGTGCTGACAAGGCAAGCATTTTGTCAGCTGGTCTGTTCCAGCAAGACTTCTTTTTGCTGTCTCAGAAGACGCCCTAGAGCCCATGCTTGTTTTAGTTGGGGTTTTCAAAAGGAAAAGAACTGGCAAAACGAATATATACACACATACATATACATACATACACACAATATATATACACGCACATACATGTGTACATATACACACACACCATATATGTACATATATACACATACATACATGCACACATAAGGATATGTGCATGTATACACATATGCACACATACATGCAAACACATGCATACATACATGAAGACATGCATATGCCCGTAAATACACTTATAAATACACACATATATACATACACGCGTGCATATGCATAAATACATATATATGTGCACGCATACATATACACATGCATGTATATAATACATACACACATAATATACATGCACATATACACATAAATGTGCATGCATTCATGCACATATGTACATACACACATACACATGCATGCACCCCTATATATGTATATATATACCTATAAATACATATATACATGCACACATACATATACATATATACACAAGTAAAACGAATCCCCTTTACATTTATATTCATATACATATGTAAAGGGGATTTATTTGGTTGACTTACAGGATGAGACTGTCTTGTGGTAATCATTCTGCGGTAAGCACTCTGACACCACTTAGAATAGAGGAGAGGAGATGTTCCCAGTGAGCCAAAGCCAGGACGGCTCTTGAAAGGTCTCAATCCCTAGTCCAGTTTGTCTTCTCATATTATACTCTAAAACCACACGGTGGGACAGGCAAGTGAGGTTTTACAGTCGCACACGTGGCAGTCAGCAGGTTGTGAAGGGCAACGACCTGCTGTATTAGCTATTTCCCCAGGTCATTCTGTTCCAGGTAGTGAGGGAAGTCACGCTCGGCAAATAGGCAGGGCAAGCGGCACTTTAAGCAAATCAGCAAATAAATCAATAAATCAGTATCCAATAATTGGTCCTTTCTGCCTAATTCTCCGTCAGTCTCATACTAGAGAGACCTAATAGTCATTCAGTTCACAAGGATTATGTCTCAGCCTTCCTACTACAGCACTGAAGGACTGGTCTTTGGTCCACACTGGAATCCCAGGAAGTTGGCTCTGATGTTGAAGGAGTCCCACAGCAACAGGGCTTCAGACTTGTCAGTGAAAGTGAGGGCAAGCACACACAACTCTGTTTTCTTCTTCCCTGTCCTTTTCTGTGAGCTGCCAACACTCAAGCCAGGTGGTGGCGGTGCATGCCTTTAATTCCAGCACTCAGGCAGGAGGATCTCTGTGAGTTTGAGGCCAACCTGGTCTACAGAGTGAGTTCCAAGACAACCAGGGCTACTACCCAGAGAAGCCCTGTCTTGAAGAAAACGACAACAGAAGATCGGCTATAACAATGTTCGATTGCTAGTAACAAACAACGAAAGCAGGGTGACTCTTCTACATAGCCCAGGCTGGGCGGAAATCCCTGCTCCTCTGCCTCAGACACTTGAATGCTGGAATTACAGGCTCGCGTCACCCAAATGTGTTTAACATGTGGAGCAGTGAAATGTCTGAAGAGAGGCTGATGGATAGGGTCAGAGGCCCCGAAAAGAAAGCTAGTTACTTAACCATTTAGACACCTGAGCCTTAAAAACAAGTCAGGCTAAGCTGATATGGTGTCATGGTCATTGTCAACTTGGCAGGGTCTAGAACCGGTGGAGAGACCAGCCTGTGGGCACATCTGCGAGGCAAGGATTGCCCAGGTCAGGTTTGTTGAGGTGAATGTGGCCATCATTTTCTGAGCTGAGTCCTGAACTACATTAAAAGGCGAGAGCAAGCTAAGCAGCAGCATCCATCTCTCTCTGCGGCCTGACTGGGGATGCCATGTGATCAGTCACCTTGTGTTCCCACTGCCATGCCTCCCCAGCCATGATGGAGTGTAAGTGGAAATAGACCCTTTCTCCTCTGAGTCGCCCCTTGTCAGGTATTTGGTTGCAGCAATGAGAGAAGTGGACAAGACGCTGGGCTTGATAAATGCTGAACTCATGGTTGGGTGCCAGCTGTTTATTAGTGCTTTTCCTTGACCTTAAAAGCAAGACTACAGAGGTCACAAGGGCAGGCGAGCTGTCCCTGACCCCACCAGCTGCAACACTCGGGAGCAGGCAGCACAATAAAGCCCTATGAGCCAGCCCCGAATTTGTGAGCACGGGAGAGCCATCCCCACTACTAGTCTGTCATGCAGCAGTGTGGGTGGGGGAGAGATGGCCCCAGCCCCTTGCCCCTTACTGCCTGCAACAGAGAAGTGAGCTGACCCTCTCCCTTACCAGCCGCAGCACTCGGGAAATAGGGCCCTGCTCCTCACCTAGGTAGCACCTGTAGAGCTGACCCTGTTGGCCGAGGTGTGCGTGAGCCAGCCCCGATGTTGTGAGCATGGGAGAGCTATCCCATTACTCATCTGTCATGTGGTGGCAGGGGCAAGGGAGAGGTCCCCAACACCTGAGGCAGGGGGAAGAGCTGGCCCTGCCCCTCCTCATTCACAGCACTCTGGACACATAGTAGAGCTCCCCTACACACCTCCCCTGGACAACACAGTAGAGCTGACCCTGAAGGTGTAGGTGTGAGAGAACAGACCCTGGGGCTGTGAAAGCCTGGCCCTGCCCCTTGTTCATCACTCCAAGGGGTAAACTAGCTGGGGGCAATGCTGGAGAGCTCCCCCTGGTGGTGAAGACAGTAGAGAGCTGGCAGGCTGACCAACCCTGCAACTACCCAAACCCAGAGTTCTATGTTGATCCACCCCAGCAGCCACCCAATCTATGATCTGCTGGAGCATGGAGGGGACAGTGGGGTAGGGTCAGTCCTGTGGACCCAGGGCTGCAGGATCTTCTTGATACAGGGCAGCAACAGGATGGCCAGGAAGAGTCGCAGTGAGAGCCCAGCATCAATGGTGTAGCAGAGACCAGGGGTCTCAATCCAGACCAAAGATTCTTTGCAATGAACGCCTGCATGTAAAAATGTAAGGATAAAGGGGTTTACTGTGAGGTTCACTGTGTCACATTGCAGCTTCCATGATGAGATTTTCCCTTTCTCCCTCCCCCCCTTTTATTCTGTTAAATTTTGTTTTGTTTTAATCTTGGGGGCGGGGGAGATGGGTGAGATCAGGAGACATGATGTGAAAGACACAAAAAATAAAAAAAGGCAAGACTAAAGCCAGGCATGGTGACACACACCTTTAATCCAACACTCACCAGGTAGAGGCAGGTGGATCTCTGTGAGTTCAAGGACAGCCTGGTCTACATAGTGAGTTGTAGGACATCCAGAGCTACATAGTGAGATTCTGTCTTGGAAAACAAAGAACAACAAAACAAGACTAATGTGGCTGGAGGGTCAACACAGTAGTTAAAAGCCCTTGCTTCTCTTACAGGGGACCAGAGTTCAGTTCCCAGGACCCACACTGGATAGCTCACATCTGCCCATAGTCCAGTTCTAGGGGATCTGGCACCCTCTTCTGGCCCACACACACAAAGAATAATAAATAATACCAAAATAAACCTTTTTAAGAAAAAAATAACAAAACTAAGCCAGATGTAGTGCTCCAGGGCTGCACTCTCAGCACTTGGGAAACTGAGGCAGAAAAATTCTAGGTTCCAGGACTGCCTGAGCAGTCTCAAAAGATAAACAAAAACACTAACCCCACCCCCAAGTCTATTAATTACAACTCCAACAACCTACAAAAGAGATCTCACCCTTGCCCATTCATAGCAAGGGAGGCAACAATCAGATGTCTGGTGTGGAAAGCACAGTAAAACCTTGAGGAAAGCCATGGCTTGGAAGGCTCCCTAACAATTCCCAACTGCGCCTGAAGAGGGCACTGTAATTCCAGCGCTAAGTTTGCCTCCCCCCAAATTCTTTTCAGGACACATGAGCATGCAAACACACACACACACACACACACACACACACACACACACACACCCCTAATAAATTCTCTCCAGCCCCAACTCCTTCAATGTGCGTGTAACTTTTCCTGCAGTGGACTGTAGAAATAATCTCTTTTGAATACTGAGCTGAGCTTTCAGGCTGGATTCTAAAGGCCTTGTTTTGGAAACAATGAATGACAGCCACACAGGCTAATAGCCAGGGCTGGGGTCCTGGTACAGTGTGTGTCGTCTTTGATGGGTTGTGCGGGTCTCTCCTGAGCGTGCTTTCCCACCTGAAGCACTACTTTAGGGAAGGAGTCCCAGGAACAATATGGAGTCACCCTTATCCCCTGGCTGTGGTACCTGTCACTCCTCAATCTGTTGACTCTCAGGGAAACCCTGAGAGCCAGACCCTCAGAGAGACACCTCTCAGAATACGAAAGACACAGGTGGCTGGATTCACGAGGGGTCTGTACCCTGAAGTAGGTGACTGGTGCTAGGGACATAAGGATCCATTAACCGGGGTTGGCGTTGCCACCGACCTCTAAATGGGAGCCCTACATACTGGCTCCTGTTTCCTCGGTGGTATCCCCAGCTCACCTAGCACTTGTCCTGGCGGGTTGGCAGCTGCCCACTAAGAGACAGCCTTGAATGGAGCCTGCTTATTGACCAGCGTGGGCAGGCACTGTGGCCTCAAGCCCAGGAGGGTCAAGAGGTCAAACAGGCCATGCGAGGCAGCACGTAGGGCCCCACCCCCTCCACCTCTGGTTTCCCAGATCTGATGCTTTGCTACCAGGTTGGGAGGAGGTAGAGCCAGGAGAGCTGGGGGGGGGGGCACCCATGAAGGTAGACAAGCCAGGAGTCGTTTGGTGATTTCAGCTGTTGCCAGTGGTATTTCAAAAAGACACAAAACTTCATACCCCTTCCCGCCCATGAAAGCTAAGAATCAGTTGCATTCCGTCTTCATGGTTCCACCCCCTCTACTGTCCAGTGACACATGTGTCAGGGAAGACCCCATGAGACCTGGAGAATTCATGCCTTGCCCCCTAAATCTCCAGTTCCTGTATTCTTCGTAGGTGCCACAAGGATTGAACCCTGAAGCTTGTCCTGTGGGGTCACAGTTCCGGCAGGACACTGAGTTTGGATCTCTGTCCCTGAGTTATATACTGGTTTCTGGGTGCTGAGAATATAGTCCAGTTGGTAGAGTGCTTGCCTAGCATGCATGAAGCCCCGGCTTCCATCTCCAGCACCCCATAAATGGGTGAGTGCATGCTTACAATCTCAGCACTTGGGAAATGGAAGCAGGAAGATCAGGAGTTCAAAGTCATCCATAGCTACACAGCGAGTTCCAGGCCAGCCTGGGCTATGTGAGACCCTCCTGTCTCAACAAAAACAAAACAAATCCAAGATGGCTGTCTGAATCTCTCCTGCTCTGAGGTCTCAGGTTGACCCAGTGACATCTTCAGACTTCAGAATGGAGCTCTGAAAAGTTCTGGCTCCCCAGGATGTCACTGCTGATGCTGGAGTGTCCCGAGGACAAGCTGGTGAGGAGGTCACAACCCCTTTGATGAGGGTTGGGAGTGGTGGAAAGTTGGCGTGACACAGGCAGTGACGGTGAGCAAGTTGGTGGACACATCACGGTAGCAGTAGCAGGTCACCTGTCCCCTCTCCTGCAGGCCTCCCCCGTGTACAACTTCAGTTTGCCCCGGAGGAAGTTGGAGTAGACTCGGAAGAGTTTGCAGAAATTCTCCACCGTGAGCGTTCGGAGTGGAGCAGGTGGGGTGGCATCTGGAGGTGATTTCGACTCCTTCTGTCGAGAGAAAATAGGATGTCACTGCAGTGCTGAGGACCGCGGATGAAAATGTAGCAAGAAGCCTGGCAGTGGTGGCGCACGCCTTTAATCCCAGCACTCAGGAGGGAGAGGCAGGCGGATCTCTGTGAGTTTGAGGCCAGCCTGGTCTATGAGAGTTAGTTCCAGGACAGGCACCAAAGCCACAGAGAAACCCTGTCTCAAAAACAAAAACAAAAAAACAAAAAAAAAAAAGAAAGAAAAGAAAAGAAAAAGAAAATGTAACCAGGAACAGAATGAGAGGGATGATGAAGAATGCCCTCAGTATTATTTGTGTGGGGGTGTATGTATGTGCGTGCACATGTGGGGGTGTATGTATGTGCACGCACATGTGGGAGTGTATGTATGTGTGTACACAATGTGTGGGGGTATATGTATATATGTGCACAACGCATGGGGTGTAGAGGCAAGAGGTGTGTCTTCCTCAGTCACTCCACATTGTCTATTTCTATTTGCATGTTTGGATGTGTGCAGGTGCCCAGGGAGTCTGGGATCCAGCCTCAGATCCCCTAGAGCTGGATTTGAAGGCCGCTGAGAGCCACCTGATGTGGGGGCTAGGAACTGAACTCCACAAGAGCAGCAAGCACTCTTAATCGCCGAGCCATCTCTGCAGCCCTTCCACCTTAGTTTCTGAGACAGCATCTCTCACTGAACCTGGAGCTCACCAACAGAGTTAGGCAGTGAGTCCCAGGAGTCCCCGTGCTCCTATGCCCCAGCTCTAGGATTACATGTGTATTTTACCTTACTTTGTTTTTGTTTTGTTTGTTTTGTTTTGCTTTTTTAAATAGAAGTGTTGGGGATTGAACTCAATTTCTCACATCTGTGTAGCAAGCATGCCACCCCCACCCCATCTCCCAGACTGAGCTCTCAGTATTCCTTGGTTTAGATTTGTTATTACATGAATCCATTTATGTACAAATATGCACCAAGCATGTAGGTGGAGGTAAGAGACCAAGCTTGAGGGAACCGGCTCTCTTCTTCCGGTGTCGCTTCCGGGGATTTTGAACTCAGGGCATCAGGCTTGGCAGCAGGTACCTTTACCCATTGAGCTATCTTGCAGGCTCAGCCCTCAGTATTATTTAATAACTCTTGCTCCAGGCTGTAAAAAGGGTGAGTAGCTGAGTCCACACCCACTCCTACTCACCTGGGCTCCCAGCACCCGGAGCAGGGAAGTGAGACTGCGCAGGCCACTGACGGCTTTGTCTATGTGCAGCTGAAGCATCCCGGATGGCTGAGAGGAGTTGGCCAGCAGGGCCTGGCCCCGCAGGATGGCTTCTGAGAGCAGGGACAGGCCTTGCCAAACTTCTACAGCCTGTTCTTCCACCTAGAGGAGGCAAAAGACTTAGAAAAGGCCATCCGGTATCTCCCTGGCTACCGACACCCTAGCGGCTAGACAGAAGCAACAGTAAAGCACGCAGTAAGGTTTGTTGAATGGATCCCTGAATGGATCCCATCAGGCATTGTCTTTATCATTCTTTCTCCCACACTATCAAGATGTCAGACTGAGACCCACCCACCTCTAGGAAGAGGAAAAATATAGAACTCACCTCCATTCTTTTCCAAGCATTGAAGTTGACTTTGGTGTCTGGGACTGTAATGTTCTCACTCAGCCTGGGACCTTCTGCACAGCCCATCTAAAAGACACAGCACCAAGTCAAGACCCCCAAGGGTTTTGTTCTGCAAAAAGCCGGCGGTTACTCTCTGTCTTTGACCGTTACTGGGCATGCTTTGGGGGCCGTCAGCTTTAGCATTCTTCCTTATTTTACACAGAGTTTCGTGTCAAGAGTTTCAAATTTAAGGCTAGCCTCAGCTTCTGTAGCAGAGGCTCGCCTTGAATTTCTGATCCTTGTACTCCACCTCCCAAATACTAGGGATGTAGGTGAATCGAACCCATGGCTGCATGCACACTAAGCAAGCACTGTACCAAACTGAGCCACATCCCCTGTCCAGCTTTATCATTCCTGGGGGGGGGGAATAAGCGGTGGAAGAGGTTTGGGACTAAACATCTCATCTTGACCCTAAAGGCAGCACTAAATTCCTAGATCCTTAAGAACCAGTTTCTTTTGTGGGGCCGGGGAGCTTACCGTGACATTCTCGGCCTCTCTAGCCTCCAAGATGTACCTCTCCAGAACGCGACTGTCGCAGATGAGGCGAGGGGGAGCACAGAGGACTGGGAGGCCCAGAGGAAGCAGTAGCAAAGACAGCAGAAACAGCAGGGTGGGACGTTCTAGAAGAAAGGCAGGCTGAGTGTGAGGCAGGGAGGGGAGGGGGCGGTGGTACTGCAGAGGTTGGTTTGCTCAGCCAGGCTCCTCTGCCCTTCCAGTCTTTGCTGACCCCGACCTTGCAATTGCTTAGGCTCTCTCTGCCTGAGTGGCCTTCATTCTGCCCCTCGGCGCTGCACACCCCACCCCCCAAGCGACCGGCATCCACTTCTCGGTCAAACTTCACTGTGGGTGCACGCCAGAGGCTGGCAGATCCTGAGAAGCTGGGACTCCTGGACGCAGGTAATTCTTTGAGCAGCTTCTCACCCACAGAGCAGCGCCTCAGCTCCCTAAAATCCTAAACTTTGTCCCTGCTCTGGATCTCCCCCTTTTTTGTCATTCACGAGGGGGCTCCCCAAACCCCTGCGTGCACGTGGAGGAGGCTGCCCCACCCCCTCTCTCTTCCTTGATCCTTGGCTAGTCGCTGGTCCTTGAACACGGCCACTTCCTGGCCAATAGCTTCAGATGTAAATCCTTGCTCAAACAGGAGCCCGGAGGTCACAGGTTCCTAGCCTGTGAGTACTCACCGGGCACCCCCATCTCCGCGCCTGGCTGCCGGGGCCCCTTAGCGACCCGGGGCTGGGCCAGTGTCCACGCTGCTAGTCTTCATCCTTGGAAGATCTGTGGGACCAGGTCACCCCACTAGCCTGGAAGAAGGTGGTCACCGTTCAGGGAGCGCGGGCAGAGTGGGGACGCGGTGGCTCTGGCCAAGGGTCTGTTCGGGAACACAGCTAGAAGCAGCCACCGGCCAGGCTTGGTCCGGGGACACTGTGGCTCCGGCCGGGGGTCGGGGATGTTATCAGCTTGTGTGCGTGCGCGGGTGGGGGTGGGGGTGAGGCTGTGTGTGCGTGAGGGGTCGCCAGGGGTGGGGGCCACCTGGGGTCAGAGCAAGGGGCAGGACGCCTGGGTCTGGTGCTTGCTGGGGTGGAGCGGGTTGTTCCAGGCACGCACGCTGTCAGGGGGGTCTTCCTTGAGGGGGATTGGACAGACTCCGATTTCCAGGAGGGGAGCCCAGTGGGGTGCACGTCTGTGAGATGTGCGGGAAGCCTAGACTGAGGTGAGGAGCTGATCTATGAATTTCTGGGCACCGGATCACCTCCTCTGGGGGGCGTCCTTATCCCAGGACAGAGGCTTAGATCAGAAACACCTAGGGGCTGGAGTCTGGAAGTAGCCCAAGTGCTTTTGCTCCTTACAGTCACGACTTGCTCTAAAAGCCAGAGTTGTCCCTGTTGAGGAACCAGATGCAAGTGAGTAAGGACTGTGGGGTACCTCCCTGCACCCCTCCTCATTTTCTAGAACCCTAAAAACCCAGAAAGGTAACTTTCATAACAGAAAGCCTGTGGCACATTGCTGAGGACATATGGACACGTTGATATGGGGTTCTTGCTTTTTGTCTTTGCAGTGCTGGAACCCCAGGCTTTCTGTATGTCAGCAAATGCTCAATAACTGAGCTCCCACGCCCTTACTGAGGGATTCTAGGCAAGCACTCTGCTGTTGAGCCACACCCCCAGTCCCTCACTGGGGGTGTCTTGGCAGGCACTCCACTGCTGAGCTATACCTCTATATCCCCTCACTGGGGGAGTTTTGGCAGGCACTCTACAGCTGAGCCACACTCCCAGCCCCTCACTGGGAAAATCTAAGCAGGTGCTCTACCACTGAGCCACACCCCAACCCCTCACTGGGGGATTCTAGGCAGGTGCTCTACCACTGAGTCACACCCCAGTCCCTCACTGGGGGATTCTAGGCAGGGGCTCTACCACTGAGTCATGCTTCCATCCACACACTGGGACCTTCTATGCAATTGCTCTACAGAGAAGTCAGGTCCCCAGAACTAATGTCTGTTTTGTGCAAGACTCTTATTCATTTTGTAGGCTAAAAAAAGCTACATTAACATGCTGGAGAGATGGCTCAGTGGTTAAGAGCTCATGTTTCTTTGCCGAGGATCAGGTTCTATTCCCAGCATCCATATGTTGTTTCACAATCATCCATAACCCCAGTTCCAAGGAATCAGATGCCCTCTTCTGGCCTCTATGGGCACCAGGCACACATGAGATATCCATACACATGTGTAGGCAACGCGCCCTCACATAAAACAAAGCATATAAATCTCACTTTAAAACGTAAAGATAAGAGAAATGTTTTTGGAATATGGAATGCTGACTAGGAAGGGACCTGAGGACCAAGTCATGAATGCCCGCCCTGGTGACATTCTGGTGGGGAGCGACCAACAATGGCGGTAGATGGATTGAGAACCAAGTAGAGGAGGCTGGAGAGATAATCAGCGTTAGGAACACGTGCTGCTGTTGCAGAGGACCCAGGTTCAGTTGCTAGCAGCCCCGTGGCAACTAATAACTATGTGTCTCTCCAGACCTAAGGAATCTGATGCCCTCTTCTGGACTCCACAGATCCTGTCCACACATGGTGCGCAGACACACAGGTAAAGTATCCAAACATAAAATCAAAACAAGCAAACTTTAATATATTGTATAATATACACACAAGTATGATATATATACATATCATATATATACATATATATATATATATATATATATGAATGAATGAATAAGGGGAGGGAGTCGGATAAATGACTTAGTAATTGCTTGCTTCATATACAGGAGGACCTGATTTAGACTTCCCAGCTCCCACATTAAAAGCTGGACACGGTGGCCTGTGATTGTAATCTTAGGACTGGGGAGTAGAAACAGGAGCATCCCCGGAGCTCACTGGGCAGCTAATCATCAGGTCCCAGGTTCACTGAGATACTGTCTTAAAAACTAAGGTGAAAAGCCAGGGAGGTGATGGTTCAGTGGGCGAAGGTGCCTGCCACCAAGTCTGGTGACCTGAGTTTGATCCCTGAAACCCGCATCCCGGAAGTAGAGGATCAGCTGCTGCAAGTCGTCCTCTGACCTCCACATACACGCCCTGTGGCGATGAGACACAGAGATGCACACACAATTAGTTAATTAATGTAACAAAAATGTAGTGGAGAAGTAACTGAGCAGGACATCGCAGAGTCGACCTGTAGCCGCCACACTTACACCAGCACGCGCATGTACGTGCGCGCACGCATGCACGCAGGAGAGATTCAGAAGGTGCACCAGGATGTTGCAGTTGTCAGTAAGCAGTCAGGATTGCCAGGCTGTCAGTGTAACAAGCTGGGGGGGGGGGGGAGGCAACCATGAGGTTTGGCTGGGGAGAGCGTGATCAAAACACGGGGTAGAAAGATGAAGACGCGGGCAGGAGGCAGCTCGTTTGAGATGGTGGCAAGTCACGTGAACCTGATTCTTCTGACTCTGAACTGTCTCCCCGATTGGGCCTACTCAGAGTCTCTTCCTGAACCTGCCATCCAGGCTCAGCTCTACTCCCCAACTGTGGTCCAGCTGTGAGACATGCACACGGACACACGTCCACACACGTCCGCATGGGAGCTCTGTCCCGACCACCACACCCCTCCCAAAAGGCTGCTCTTTCCAGGGCCCCTGACTCCTGCGTCACTGCTCTGACCTATCCTCCAGAAGAGAGAGAGAGCCAGGGGCCGTTGGGGGCAGGGGCTTAACATGGCCTGACATGGCCTGAGTCTCAGAAGGAGGAGTCTTTTGGGCTGTAGGACCTGTTCCTTCTCTCTTGGTGACTTTGCCGAGAATCCTAGGAGAGGGGCCAGGCCACCAGCTTCTGTATGCTGGAGCCAGCAGAATGGTGTGACCTGTCCCCCGGGGTTTTGGAGAGAGAGCTACCATTGTATCTGTGGGGAAACTGAGAGAACAAGTCAGTCTATGAGGCCCCCGATTCTAATGCCCCTCGATTCCCCTGGGTGTTGAGGGACTTTGAGGACCCAGCCTCCGCTCAGATGCACTGGTATACTACCAGACACAGTCAGTGCATCTGACAGCAAGTGACTCTGAGGGACAGGAAAGAAAACAGGAGGCTACTTAAGTGTGCGGGCACACGCCTACAATCTTAGCACTGGAGAAGAAGAGGCAGGAGGACCACCGCGAGTTCAAGGTAGTCTGGGTTACAAAGCACATTCCAGTCAGGGCTCCAAAGCAAGATCTTCTGCCAAACAAAAAACCAAAGAATCTGGGGTACAGCAGTGCATGGCTTATCACCTCGTGGATCAGGAGTTCAAGGCCATCTTCTGATACAAAGTAAATTGGAGGCTAGCCTGGGCTACATGAGATCCTGTCTCAAAAAGAGGAAAAGGTAAAAGAAGGCAAAACAAAATTCTACACAGCGCCCCCTCCCAAGGTCCATCATCCTGCCTTTCAGTGTGCCCCCAGTTTGCTTATATTCTACTGGCATAGTTCATCAGTGTCCACGCATACCACAGAGAATCCCACAGCCCCTTCTACTCCCTTTCTACCCCTGCTACTTATTCCATTAATTCTCCCATTGAATAGCCTCGTTCATGGCTTGACCCTGAGCAAGGATCTTTTTTCCTTCCTTCCTTCCTTCCTTCCTTCCTTCCTTCCTTCCTTCCTTCCTTCCTTCCTCTCTTTCTTTCTTTCTTTCTTTCTTTCTTTCTTTCTTTTATTTTTTGGTTGTTGTTATTGTTCTTTGAGTTAGGTCTCATATATCCCAGGCTGGCCTCAAACTCCTTCTGTAGCCAAGGTTGACCTTGAAGTCATGTTCCTCCTGCCTTCACCTCCTGAGTTCTAACTAGTACTATAATGAGGCACCATTGCACCCGGTTTATGCAATGCCAATGATCAAACCCAAGGCTCTGTGCACACTAGGCAAGCTCTCCATCAGCTGAGTCGCATCTCCTGATGTGAGCAGGACCCTGCAGTGGTTTCCCTTTGCCTCAGAAGGGAGACCGCCCCCCCCCCCCCAAAGCTAGTCACACTCTCCTTCCTAGTCAGTTTATTTACTTAGTCTGTGTGTGTGTCCACGGGCATGCTCACATGTGCCACAGCGTAGATGTGGAGGTTAGAGGACAATTTATGAGAGTTGGATTTCTCCTTCCACCTTGTAGGACCCGGGGATTGAACTCGGGTCGTTAGACTTGGCAGCAAACCCCTTTACCAGCTGAGCCATCTCCCCAGCCCCACACCGTGACCTTCCCTCATAGGAACTTGGTTAGCCAATCTGTGGGACCTTGCTGCTTCTGCCTGCCTTGCCCTCCCCACTGTGTCCCTCTTCAGACCCCACAGCTGACCCGCCTCTCCTCCTCACAGCCTTTCCCCACACCCAGGCAGGACATTGTCATCACTTATGTGCGTGTGTTAGTTTTTGCCGTCTCAGGGTCACTGTGAGCATCCATGTTTGGTCCTGCACAACTCCAGGAGTTATCTAGTCATGAAACGTCAGTGCCGGGAGTGGAGTCCTCTGTCTGCCTGTGCGTGGCCTGGAACATTGAGAAGAGAGCAAAGGATGGACAATGGGAGGTCTCATGGCATCTCTGCTACTGGGCTCCCAGCATGTTTCCTGCTCACACTTAGCTGTTGTTCTTTGTTTGTTTATTTGTTTGTTTGTTTTGAGACAGTTTCTCTGTAGCTTTGGAGCCTATCCTGGAAGTCACGCTATAGACCAGGCTGGCTTCGAACTCACAGAGTTGACCTGCCTCTGCCTCCCGAGCGCTGGGATTAAAGGTGTGCGCCACCACTGCCCGGCTTGTGGGTTGTTTTCTACGGTCTCTCCAGCCCAGGCTCCTTGGACTGAGATGGTGGGAGATCTAGAGAGGAGACTACACCTAGCTGCCCTTGTGCCTTGGGATCTTGGTCTTGAGGAATCGCTATTACTATCAGAGCTGAGCTCTAAAGAAACAGCAGGAATGAGCCCCATTGTGGGACAGGAAAGCTCTACCTTCTGGATCCCCCCAAAAGCAAATTTACAACCCTTCTCTGAGCTGTTGCAAACCCAAGGCAGCACGGAGCCCCCAGCTGCCTGGAGTCCGACTAAGGAAGGGGGGTGGGGGACTCACAGCTTCCAAGCTGTGGCTTCTGGGCTTGGGAGTCCAGCCAACGGCCTAGGAGACCTTCTGTGCTGGAAAGTGAGTTGGCTGGGCGGGGAGGGGGCTGGGAGGGTGTTGTGGACGGAGACTCTTGGCCTTGGGGGAACTGAGAGGAAATAAGAATGCTGGAAAAGGGATTTCTGTCCGTTAATGGTCCCGGGGTCGAGGCTACATCTGTAATTTCACCTACTCAGGAGGCCAAAGCAAGAGAATCATAAGTTCCAGGCCAGCCTGGACTATACCTTATCTCAAAAAGAAAAGACACGGGCTGGGGAGATGCCTCACTTGGTAAAGTGCTTGCTGCACAGGTATGAGGTTCTGAGTTTGAGCCCCAGCGTCTGAAAAGCTAGGTGCAGTAGCATGGCCTTGTGGTTCCAGTTTCTTAGGAAGGTTTCTTAGGAAGCCAGAAACAGGCAGACTGCCAGAACTCACTGGCCAGCTAGCCTAACCCAGGTCCCAGATCCTAGTGACATACTCTATCCAAACACACAGGGGACAATTCCTGAGGAATGACACCTGAGGTTGACCTCTGTCCTCCATGTATATATGCACACACACCCTGTCTCACACACACATGGAAAAAAGAGGGGGGTGGGGAGGGGAAGTTCAGGCATACTAGCCTAGGCTACATGAGGCCCTGTCTTTGGGGTAGGAGAAGAAAGAAATTAAGTCTATTTTCCTTCCTATTAGATGTCACACGATAAAGTTTATAAGTCTTTCGGCAGACATGGTACCTGATACACTTACGTACAACAAGCAGATATTCAGTAAATGTCACAGGTGATAAACAGGTGTCTAGTGGCTGGCCAGATGAGCCAGTGAGGAGACGTGCTTGCCACCAAGCCTGACAACCTGAGTTTGATCCCCAACCCCCAGGACCGACATGATGGAAGGGGAGAACGGACTTCCCCAAACAGACACATTTTAGAAATAAAGTCGTTTAAAAATACATGTTTATTTCTGCCAGATAGTTTTTTTTTCTTTTCAAACTTTTGAGACAGGGTCTCTAAATTGCTCAAGCTGTCCTGTAATTTATTACATAGCCCAGGCTAGCCTTGAACTTGTAACAGTCCTCCTGCCTCAGCCTCCTGAGTATCTGGGATTGCCAGCATGAGCCATGATGATGCCTGGCTTGGGGATCTGTCTCTGCAGGAAGAAACCATTCTGTGCTCACTGTGAGCTCTGTAACTGTTCAGTAAACGGAGGAGGAAGGGTGCTGTATTGGGACACACTTCCTACTCCTGGCCTACCCTGACAGGAGTTGCTTAGTAGAAAACAGAAGTGGAGCTGGCTACTCTGAAGGCCAAGGACACCAGTCCTCAGGCTTTCCAGCCTCGTACTCCACCTCATAGCTCTACCTGCTATGGTCTCCCCCTCCACCTCCGCCTCCTGCCAAGTTTACAAACAGCAAGCCTCCCATGGGCTGGTCTTCCTTCAGTAGCATCACTGAAGGCTACGTCTGCGGACAATGACCCAGGGAAGCCCCAACAGCAAGCACTGGGGAAATGTGGAGAAGAAACAACAAACAGAGGCTGTGTGCGAGGAAGCTGCCAAGACAAACCAAACGAACGTAGGAAGGATGCAAAAGGGCTGCCTGCCACCAGCCCGGCTGGGCTCTGGCCAGGGGAGCAGAGTCAAGAACACATACGTGCAGGGAGACACATCGGCAGCCCAGCTTCCTACGGGCTCCATCTGCTCCCAGGAGGTTCCAAGACGAGGAAACCTTGACGATGGGGTTGATGGAGGGCTACTCAAGCCTACAATCTTAGCACTTAAGAAGCGAAGGCAAGGGGATCGAGGCCAATCAGCCTGGACAGCATACAGAGAAACCGTGTCTCGAAAGAACAAGAAAAGAGATGGCAAGATGGCCCGGCAGTTAGATCTCAGACCTAAGCTTGGTTGGCATCATTTACATCAGGTGGCACACGAGCACCTATAACTCCAGTTTCCTGGGGGATGTAACACCTCTGACCTCTGAGGGCACCTGAATATATCTACATACCTACCTGAATACATACCCACACAGAAACATACACATAATTAAAAATAAAATAATATCAAGCAGTGTGATAGTGCACGCCTTTAATCCCAGCACTCAGAAGGCAGAGGCAGGCACATCTCTGGTTCAAGGCCAGCCTGGTCTACAGAGCCAGTTCCAGAACAACCTGAGCTACAAAGAGAAGCCCTGTCTCAAACCTTTGCCCAGTCAGTGAAGTGCTTACTGCCCAAGTGTGGAAAACTGAGTTCTACCTCCAGCATATAAAAGCTGGGCTTAGGGGTGTGTGTGTGTGTGTGTGTGTGTGTGTGTGTGTGTGTGTGTGTGTGTTATCCCAGTGCCAGTTAATGACAACATAGGCAAGCGAGTTCCAGGTAAAAATGAAGCAAAGCGGCCAGGAATGTTGGTACAGGCCAGCACTTGGGAGAAAGAGACAAGCAGCTCTGTGGGTTCAAGGTCAGCCTGATCTATAAAGAGAATTCAAGCCAGGCAGAGCTAGTGAGATCTTGTCTCAGACAGAAACAAAGGAGGAATGAAAAGTTAGAAAGGAAAGAAAGAAAGAAAGAAAGAAAGAAAGAAAGAAAGAAAGAAAGAAAGAAAGA